GACGCATTCAGAGCCAGTCTTCGTAAGGTTTAGTACCATCAGAAAAACTGTCCGCAGGATGACCATTTTGCGCTAGAACTAGTTTGGATGACATTGAGAGATTGGTACGTGTGATTGCGTTGCACTAGGCCTCGAAGCTTGAAGCTTTGAAGTCACGGCACTCGTAAGCCGGAGCAAAGACAAAGCGTCGAGTTGGCCATGGCGGCGATGAACCGATGAAGAATATCACGTGTTGGCTATAAGTACAATCACAACTAAGCTACTGACTTTATGTAAAGTTTCAGGCGAGCAAAATCATTGACAATTCCTTTACTTCACCAGTGACCACGAACTTCTTAAATAACAATCATCATCTGGCACTCCTTCACGAGTATTGGTTGGAACGTTTCTCCTTAAACGCCTCATTTCGATCTAATGTAGCGCACACAGTTGATGCCGCAACCCACTTTGAAGAGGGCACCAACTCCGGTGCGAACAGCGGCTCCCTTCGCTCCACACGACGCGATGGTCGCATCACAGAAAGGTCACATAGAGAACCTAGTGCAGAAGACTCGGAATTTGGAACACACCATCAAGAAGCTAAACGATGAATTCAGTCTTGAACAAACTCGCGCCAAGGACACTGTCAATGCCATTAAACAACAATGGCAAGCAGAGCAGAAGGAGTGGCACGTTGGTTGCGATGCTTTACAGGCGTGCCATAGGATTGCTCATCTCAAAACGGCATACGCTCTGGACGACGAACGAATCGCAGTGCTCAAGGAGCGCGCAATTGCACGGCGCGAGAGGCTTGCACGTATACAAAGGGATTACAAGATCACCATGTTCCAGGCTAGGGAGGCAGAATTGGAAAGTCAATTGGAGGACCTTCAGGCAGATCTCGACTCTCGAGTGGCTGAAACAGAGTCTTTGCTTAAATCTCGTGATCAACAGTACCAGAAGACTATCCTCGACTTACAAACAAGAGACGCGACGCTTTCATCCGAGCTGAAGCTGAAGTCGGACGAAATTGTAGCAGCTCACAAGCAACGCGAAGATGTCGAGGTCTGCTCCTTCAGTACCAATCTTGACCGATGGTCTAACTTACTAGTAGGATGAACTGCGTCGACTACGAGAAGCCCAAGCAGACGCAGACGCGACGAGTGTTACAAATGTGTCCAAACTTTCCCGGATAACTGTGCAACGTGATGGTCTACAAGCAAGGGTGACTCAACTCGAGCGAGAGCTTGAGGATCACAAGGATAATAATGCTAAGTTGCAACGTCAACTTGACAATTGGCAAGGCTTGAAGAAAGGTGATGATGCAGATCTGGAGATATCGCGGAAGAAGAACGTCGAGTTAGAGGCTCAATTAAGGGAAGCGAATGCAGTGATCCAAGAACGTGATAAAGCGCTCGAGAAGGAGAAAGGTCGCACCACTAAACTCAAGGAAGTCCTCCATGAGTGGAAGGTCAGATTTCCTCTAGCTGTCACGCTGTATGTTCAAGCGATTGATTGTTTATAGACCGAAGCCGGAGAGCAGAGCACGCTCCTGAAACAGGCTGATGATGAGGCTACAGATGCGAAAAAGGCAGCAGAAAAACTTGAGCAAGAGATATCAGACTTGAAGGCTCAGCTGACTGCACTCAAAACATCCGCTGCTCCAAAGGTGGGGGAAAATTTCATGTGCCTATACCATATCTCAACGCACGATAATCCAGAGCAAAACGACGTCTCCTCCTATCCTTGTGGCATCAGAGGAGGAGGCTGATCAACCTCGCCCGAAACCCAGACCCAGACCTAAACCAGTCAAGCGCTCGAAGCCAGCTGACAGTGACATTGAAGTAATTGAGCCTTCCGCCAAAGCGAAAGGTAAACGAAAGGCACATCAGGAAGACAGTGCCGATGAAAAACCTGCAGCAGAGAAAGCAAAGCATGCACGAGCAAAAAAGGCCCCCTCCGCGTCAAATGATAAGGCACCAAAGAAACGTACTCTTGAATCCGAAGCCAAGAACCAGAAGAAAGCTGCGGAGTCGTTACGAACAAAGACATCAAAATCTGCTGCTGTTGCAGATAGTGCTGCAGAAGACGACCAAGATCCGGCACCTAAGAAGAAGAAACGGAAGCTCAATGTAGGCATCTTCCCTTCTACGCAACAACAGCCTCCAGTGTTTCACTGGGACCAGGTGCGTTACACGTTTCTCTAGTTGATGATCCGCTGAAACTTTGGGGTTCAATCACCCGCAGGGTGAACTCGGCCTAGGAATCCCTACCGAGTTGTCGCCTGTGAAAGATGCGCCGCGACGATTACACCCATCAAGCACAGGACCAAGTTTCGCCAAAACTCGCGGATGAAGTTTGCCCCATGTGGATGGATGCACGGCAGCTGACTCGAGTCTTTGATGTGATCGATGAACGTCATGTTTGATCTTGAATCCTGGTGACTGGCGAGTCGTTGGTCACAGCTGTAAGGGCCCAAAATGTGCTTATGAACCCGCAAACGGCGCGCTGTAGGAAGGCAAGTGAAGATATGATCATTGGAACAGTTTCACTTTTGGATTCAAAAGTGTTTTGCAAACAAGTTACATTGCTGCAGTTCTCACAACCAGAAGTACATGATTAATATTCTGCCATCAATTATGATCGTCTGGCTAGTGATATAAACGGAGTTTTTTGTGGCAAGGAACGACACCATTGCGTTTGTTTGGTACTGGAAAGCGGTTGAAAGGAGTGGGAAAGCTCACCTCACGAGAGGAATGCTGACACATACATCCTGGATAAATAAATGTCCTGTCATCAGGAAACCCCAACTGTCTCGCGAATGCCTCGGCGAAGTCTTGCACTGGAGACCGTATCAGTATCGGGATGCATAAACTAACAAAGAGATGGGAGGTGGATGGAAGGTAGGGAGACTATGGTAACAGAGAAAATAACATGATGCAGTATGACTTACGGAGACACATATCGACTGCTCAGGTGCGGCATAGGTGTTTACGGTGATGCCTTGTGATCCGATTTCACTCGCTGAGAAATAAGAACGGAAAAATGAGAGATGAAGTAATAAAACCTCTTGACTACACACCGAGCACCTGGGTAAATGATTGGATGGTAGGTTTCGATGCACAGAAAACGCTGGTCAACGGCATTCTTTTCTTCCTTCATGCTAACAAAGCACCTACGACAAGAAAGGATACCATCATCCAAATACAAAAGAACCAAGGGTCGTGCCTCCCGCAATGCCCCCGCTCGATCATAACCTTGGTTGCAAACACAGGAACATCCCGCGCACATGGACGTTGAAGATCCAATCGAAGTTTAGGGGTATGACGGTCACCATAAAAGCGTATCAAAGACGGGGCTGATTTACAGTCAACCACAGACTTCACAATGATCTGACCGGTATTCGCCACCATCTAGAACACCGTTAATAGCAGGTTTGCAGCTAACGAGGCACCCACCACGTTCAAACTGTTGAACTCTTTCTCCGTAGTCTGCACCATGTACTGGACCCCCTCTGGTGACACATCACATTCCAAGACAACACACCGCCTCCCTTGTGCCTCCACCTCGTCCGCAACGTCGAGCTTCGTGCACTGTGATTCAACTCTGTGATGGCCATGTCAAGTCCGTCCTCTACAAGCCGCACTGGGGCAATATCGCGTCCAATACCCTCGGCTACGCTGGCTATTAGTGTGACGTTAGGCTTTTTCTTGTGCTGGAGTAGCGAAATTAGTTATGGTTGTAGGAATTTGGAACCAGGACGTCCTGATTTTTATATGGAGAATTATGCGTTAGTCGAGTGCTGCAGGAAGCACTGTTGTCTTTCATGGCGAAGGGAACTAGAACATTAGCGATCTGCCGATAACACTAGAACTCATGATCTGAGGCATCCATACACCAGATCATTACTGAACTATCGTGACGGCAATGTCTCTTCAAGACCTCCATTGTGAAATCCTCAGCTGGTCGCGCCTGCGGCTCAAGCTCTGAGCCCAGGAGCTTCTATGTGAATTCGGCCTACCGATTCTGTACTGAATAACAAAGGTTGTTTCAAAAGATGGGCAAGTACGCCTTCATAAGATGACCTCGATTGTACGTTGAAGCCTTGTCAGAAGAATAAACAGCGTCAGCAACTTTTACACAGCAATTATTCAACCGTACACACTTGGGGGGGGCGGGTCGTGCGGCACGGAAGGCCGCTGCCAGTGAGGATATGCTTGCCATCCACGGAGAAGGTCATACATTGGGTTTGTGCTGAATTGACGTGCCAATAGATGGCGATGGACTGATAGTGCATCGATCTGAGAGCTTGAGTCGCCGAAGACGAACACGCCTGTCTAACAATGCAGAAGCAACAAACTAGTGCCAGAAAGATGAGCAGCAATAGATATCGATGTACGTCTCACGATCACCGCCCTGGTTTCAGGCCGCCAGTGCGTCCCACCCCGTCGCGGTAATGTGATGTTTGAGACTTTGAATCGTGAAAACACCCTTGAACTTCGCCCACGACATCAATAATTCAATACTTGATGTGCTTTAAATTCAAGCATTGAAGTAACCACGCATAGATTTGTTCCGCTCTGGCCCAGAGAAGAGGCACATACATTTATAACGCAGTAATGGTAATAGTAAAGTAGGAATGAGACCAACTTGAAAGGGAAGGGAAACTTGTCGCCACATCATGAAACTCCTCTCAACGTAGATATTCGTGATTAGAGTGATTAAAGAGGCTTTCCTCTATAGACCATCCTGTGATAGATACACACGGTGCCCTTATTCCATCGGTGAGCGGAACGCTACCTGGAATAAGTGGTGAGAGGTGGTCATGTAAACGGTGAAAAATTTTAAGCAGAGCTTCGAGGAGATTTATAGGCCTCGGAAGATGCCGGTCGCAAGTAGGGAGGCTCGTGACCAGCCTGGTTTCATCTCAGACGTAGTACTAGTACTGAAGACTGGTTAGACGAGGCGTAAATTTCTTGACGTACTGAGGTTACTGTTGCCAAAGTTAGCGCCTGTTCAAGATGCAGATAGCAGGACAGCTAATTGATGTCATGAACTCTGCGCGCTTTTCGATGGGCCACATCTACTACCAGCTCAGGTATTGGTTGGATTGTCTGCTACTTAAATGGGTGCCTCCATCTCTCCCAGCAATGCAACTTGGGCTTCATGGAAGCTCTCAAAATCCTACTATGGTGAGTTGTCAGTTGCAATTTCCGAAATGCCTATTCAAAATGGATCCTTCAAGGTACAATTTTTCACCTGGGATGCCCGGCACCCAGACATGAGCTGGTGGGAACATCTTGCGAAAGAAGCCCCGCACTTGGCCGTATTGGGGTTCACGCAGATCTGGCTCCCTCCGCCGAACAAAGCAATGGAACAGGTGAGAGTCAGCAGTTCTGATGATATGTTCACAATCCCACTGTACTATGATTACTGTAGACGGGTCGCGGATATGATGCTTATGACTTGGTACGATGTCCCGTAACACCTGTTTCAACACTCATTCAGACGTTCGTGTAGTGGGATCTTGGCGAATTCGATCAGAAAGGCTCTGTTGCTACGAGGTGGGGAACAAAGGAAGACCTTTTGAGAGCTTGTGGTGCTGCAAGGCAATGCAATATGAACGTTATCATCGATGCAGTTCTCAATGTAAGGATATCAGCTATATTTCATGAGTCTGTGCTCACACTCAGTCGTGCACCACGGTACATAAGCACAAACTCGGTGCAGACAGAACAGAGGCCTTTCGTGCTGTACGCGTCGATCCATTAAATCGGTTGCGGGATATCGAGAACGAGAGACCAGTCAAGGTATGACTCCCCTCCCTTGCTTTGAAGACCCTTTTAATATCATCCGCAGGGCTGGACTGCATTTGATTTTCCTGGACGCCTTGGGAAGGTAATACAATACATTATAATTTCATTGACTAGAGATAAACATACAACCCAGTATAGTAGCATGCGGTGGAGTTTTAATCATTTTACGGGTCAGTCCGTGTTGGACCTCCTTTGCTTTTTATGACTGAAATTATCGAAGGGTTGGACTGGGATGAGCTCGCGCAAACCAAGGGTATATTTCGCATTTCTTCAGAAATACACAAAGGTTGGTCAAGGTGGGTGGACACTGAGAATGGGAACTATGATTATCTCCTGGGCGTCGATGTTCGTCGTGGCTTTTCGTTAAAGTGCTCATTCTAATCAACTATCCGGGAACTATAGATTGACCACCGTCACCCTGAAGTACGAGATGATCTATTTTCGTGGGGCTCGTGGATCCTTGACGTACGTCTTGTCTCCATAATGTCTTACATGATTTTCTGAAATCGTTCTAGACCACAGGCGCCTCCGGGTTCAGACTGGATGCCATCAAACACATGGACCGCAGGTTCCTTCTTGAGTTTGTAAGGGGGTGTTTCGTCTTTATTTGTTTCATCTTGTGACGGAGCCACTTTACTATTGAAGATCAAAAGAACTCGGAACCACCCAGGCAGGAAGCGATTGTTTGCGGTATCAGAGTATTGGTCAGCGAAGTAGGTCCATCCTGGATTCCGTGATATACAGGCCCCTGAACGAGAGCAGTTTGCAATCTATAACCCCATATATTCGGGCGTTCCATGGCCAGGTGTGCATCCAATGACATCACTGACTCGGAGTTAATGGCAACAGACCTCCTTTTTCGACGTTCCACTGCACGAGAACTTTCATAGGGCAAGCGAAGCAGGTGCTTCATACGACCTGAGGACCATTTTTGAAGGTTCCCTGGTAAAATTGAGGCCAGAAGATGCTGTCACTTTCGTTGATAATCACGAGTGAGTGTTGGCACCAGATATCTACTGTTCTATGAGTGACCGTTTCTTGTAATAGCACGGTAAGCAAGCGTTTGATGACTGCAAACGATTTAGCCAATGATTGTTACAGCAAATTGGCCAGTCTCTGGAGAGCTGGGTAAGCCGTTCGCACTTCTGTTTTAGTAGCTTTCGATCAATTTCAATCAGGTGGACACCAACTTCAAAGCTCAAGCGTACGCCCTCATCCTACTGCGATGTCACGGATATCCGTATGTGCTATCTTGCTGAAACACCGGCCCTAACACGAATGTCATGGCAGATGTGTTTTCTATGGTGACCTGTATCCCAATGATGAGTGCTTTGACGAGGGCACCTCTCGCATTCTGAAAAGTTACTCCTTGCACGGAAATCGTTCGCATATGGACCTATGGTAGATTACTTCGAACACAGAAACTGTATTGGGTTCGTGCGCATGGGCGATTCCGATCATGCTGGGTGTGTAGTTGTGCTTAATAATGATCCTATGTGAGTTTCTTCGTGTCTTTTACACATGCTCATCTGTTGATCGCTTCCTCGAGGCTGGACCCAACTACGTCCAAAGTTCGAATGAACGTTGGCATAGTATGTGTCCATTATAAATTGTAGCTATAATATCTGCTTATCTCTTGTATTTTCTAGCACCAAGGAGCAACGTTCCACAGCTTGTTTGACGACACCCGAACTGTTGCAATTGACCATGACGGTTGGGGAGCATTTCCTTCTTCGGAGGATTGTGTTGAGGTCTGGATCAAAACTGGAGAACATTAATAGTCAATATTTCCAACAGACACTAGTATACTAGTACTGCTTATCTACATATTGTAAGAACGGAGCGATTTCCAATTGGTGTCGACGCCATGTGCGCGAGCTTGATCCATGATGTCCACCAGAGTTCGCGCACTTTGTCACACCATGTCACACGTCTGCCGCGGCCCGCAATGCCTTTTCACACTCCATGCACCCGTTTGTACAGTGTGTTGTGAAGTCGTGCGCTGTGTACCTAATTGCGGAGTTTTGGTCTACAGTCTCGATATAACGCTTTGGATAGATTGTCACATCTGGGGCATATCTCTTTTATTGCAGATAATATTTGGAGCGAGCCTTCTATGCACAAAACTAGCTTCCAGCACCGATAAGTTGGCCATGGGATGAGATCTACTTCGATTTTCTTCAAAAAAAACATGGTACTATGTATTATGTTGGGGGGAACCTAAATGCAACATACATAAGGATTTCGTGCAGAATTGCGTATGCTAGAGTCAATGCGCGGACTCTTGGGACACACGGACTGGTGGGACAATCTAGTATTGATTATAATACATGTTGCCTCCCTCCAGATAAACAAAGGTCAATCTATCAGTTATTCTCTATTGTCGAGAAACCAACATCTATGCTCGCCCTCATGCGATTGCCATAACGAATTGTCAAGAAGATGATCCTACGAAAGAAATGTTGAATGTCAGTATCACCGGTCTTGTGGCCCAAAAAGACCCTCACCCTTGTCCAATGACCGCAAAGACAGCCGCGATGATGTTCGTCCACGCAACACCTATACGCTCGATCGATGCAACGATAAGAGCAGAAGTAGCAGACAGAATGAGCGACCAGCTCGCTCTAACAGGCACACGGACGCGTTCAGGTTTGATAGTCACACAATATCATAGAGACTGACATGCAAGCAGCTGTGGCCTCAGCACTTCGAGAATGTACCACGTCCACATTATAAGAGTTGACAGGACTCGTTACTGAATCGACCTATAAAATCGGTGAATTGCATTATGTACGGGGTGCGGAGACCAGCTGGCAGGACTTACCCCCACTCCATTCGCATAGAGGCATAATACATTCAGCGTGAGGCCAATCGGGCCCCCAATATACGTTGTGATCAGTCCTGACGCCCCAATAGACAACGGGACAATGATCAGCCCTCCGATCCATGTTGCTCTCAAACGGTCTTCGGGACACCACGCTCCTCTGCGCTTCTCCCGCCATCTTCTGATTACAGTGTCAGATAGGCGGCCAGCAATCAGAGCTCCGGCTGTTAAAGATTGTGTTAGTGCACCAGGAGTACAATGCTCTGCACATACTGAGACTTCCCAGTCCATTTGGGAGGACAAGCGCCCCGATGATGGCTTCGTTCGTGATTCCATACTGGACGCCCTACACCGCGATCAGGACAGGATGCGAGATGGAAGACAATCGTCAGCTTACAATAGTATACGCCATCGGTACGACGAGAACTGCATTGTTTTGACTGAGAATGCACTGCACAATCAGTAACAAGTAACGACACACCATAGATAGTGTTGACCATTAGAGCCGACGCGAGCATCTACATCTCACACAAATTGAGAGTTTGCACTAGTGCATGATAAATGCACTCACAACCGCAAATAGGTTTGGACTGCGAAGCAACCAAAGAGTGCTTAGAGGATTAATCCATACGATATGAATCGATCTCCTGGACGACAGTTTATCGATGCCCAATGTGCCGGGATGACTCGTCTCAGGCAACGAAAGGTATATGAAAAGCATCTCGAGTAATCCCCATGCACCAATGGAATAATGCAGATTGCGCCAGGACCAATACTAGTGTCGCTGTACCTGTTCAAACGCGTCGCTAGAGTCAGCGGCCAAAAACATCCAGAATGCATTTACCTCCAACAAACGGGGCAACAGTGTACCCGATAAGTGTGATCTGAGATAGCAATGTCAGTATCAAACCGCAAAAAAAACATTCAAACACCATGATTCCTCACACTAAAGAATGCCCCGATAGCAGTCCCCCTCTCCTCCAATTTATAGAGGTCACCGATTGCGCCAATCCCCAACGACAACGCCCCAGAGCATCCAAACATCTGCACGAATCGCCAGAATAACAGACTCTGCAATGAAGCGGACAGGGCAACGCCACAGCTCCCAATGCAGAGAAACGGCATTCCCCACAGGTATATTTTTCGGCGTCCGTCTGTACTAGGACACTGGGGTTAGAACTCAACAGCTACCACGAGTACAATGCACACACAGAAAGACGAATAAGGAGCCCAAATCAACGATCCGATGGCACTAGCAAAGATCGATATGCTAAAAGCCAAGCTGGGAAATAGCTCGATCACTACACATCGGATGAGCATACAACACATACCTGACGACAGCATCCGTTAAGTCGAGATCTTTAGCTATCCGAGGGATCGAGGGCACGAACGTCACTTGGACGAACACTGACCAATGTTCATCAGTATCATGCCTCTGGATCAACAGTACGCGGCTTAAACTCCCATTGGCAGTACTCACTAGCCAACAAACCCACAAAGGACACGTGAGATAGGATCCACCTCTTTTGGTGTGGCGCGAATCGGTCATAAACAGCTTCGTGCGGGATGCGCACCAGCATAGGGCTTTCTTCTGAAGCCATCGTGAGTCGTGAGCTGACTCCCTGAAGGCTAAGAAGGATCAGTTGCCTACCTGCCGGCCAGACATCGTGACGAGTCAAGACTGTAACCGATATATTGCCGATATATGTAATAAGTACCTGTTGCAAGTTACTAATGTACACGTGTTTGAGCGAGTACATCATTCTGGCTGCTGGCATTCTAGATTCTTACCGTAAAACATCAGCACAAGACCTCGATATGCGAAAAGAGAGAGACAAGTGGGGAGGGGAAAAAAAATTATCTGACTCTCCAACTCCAACACCCTCTCCTTCGCACCTTGCCTCTCCTTAGACTTCTCTTCCACCTTCAATCTCACCTCCCATTCCTGACCAGCCGAGGTCGTCTTCTGATTTGAATCAGAGTAATTGGTTATGAGGGTGAGAGAATGGTTTTGGTTTCGTGGGAATCTAGGTCAGCCATCGGTAATCCGTGACTATGCAATTCTGCCTCAGCGATCTCGAGATTTCTCTGCGTGTTCTCTGAGAGACTGAGGTGCGCTTGAGTCTGTGTGTTGAGCGGTGAGTGCTTAGGCCTCCTCACTTCGCAGTCTGCACCTGCATTTCATTCCGTATCACAGATAGGGATCTGCACGGGTCATGCTCGTGTGTAAATAGGGTCTAAAATACAATATCGTGATGGTGGTTAACAGCCGTAATGGCAGACTCTTCAGACTGTGTTTCGAGATGCGATCCGAAGACATTGCTCTGCACTCTACTGTATTCCTGAAGCTCGATATGCGAAGGTGATCCAAAGGCACTGCTCCGGGCACTACTGCTGTCATGAAGCTCGAAATAGTTGTCTGTGTTATCCTTCTCTAGGCGGGGCGTTCTAGGTCCATATTGAGGTGTTCTGGAAAAAGTTGCGCTCTCCCTCCGTTCTGTGGTATTCCGAGGTCTCACGCCGTCGAATAAAGCAGCGGTTTCCTCCAGAGTACGACCTAAAGAAAAAATCAAAGCCGCTCCACAAGCCACAGAAACAATGAAAGTCACCTTTCGTCTCGATAATGAACAGCATCACAAATACTAGCTCCAGACAGAGCCATCCACAGTAAACAAGGTACTTTGCAAGATGTTTGTCAATCGGAAACTTGAACGAGATATGACTTACGTATTTCCAACCTATGGCATCGAGTGCCCAAGGATTGACGAACGCGTTGAAAGTATTGAAAAGATAGGCAGAAAAGTTCTGTGCAAATTGTTAGACGGTGTTCAAAGAGGAGTCACGAAAGGTCCAACCATAATTGCAAGTCCCTTGGCGCGAATATTGTAAGGCAGAATCTCGAGTGTGTACGAAAAAATCATCGGCGTATATGCAAAGTCATAGAAGAAGAAGAACATAAAAATGAGCGGTACAGTAGCTGTTCGTGCTTAATTAACAACCGCACCAAGTACAACAAGATTTCGCACTTGCCTTTCACAGCTACAGTACTCCTGGTCTCTTCGAAAAGAGCGGTAGTAATTGTCCACATAGAGAAGACTACTCATACGATAGAATGAGCGATATTCTCGAATCACAGAATAGTACTGACCGATCAACATTCCGATATTTGAAGTCAGGAACACCTTCCTTCTGCCCAACTTGTCCACCAGTGTTGTGCCTAATAGAGCACTAGCGAGATTAAAAACCTATACAGTCAGTATAAGCATTGACTCAGGCTCCTGAGAAAGCATGGATGAACCTGTAGACAGCCGTTAATTATGGCTTTTGTCCGGGTCGTGGTTATGCCGCTGTTGAACTTTTAACCAATGTACCGCCGTAATAATCCAGAGAGCATACATCCCGTCCAAAACAATGTTGATGTAAACCGAGACCAGACCGTTACCACTAAAAGGAGCATCAATTTCCGTACAAACTAGAACAAGATTAGCCAAACCTCCACTGCGAGAATACTGCAATCGATATAACGATAAACATGCGCCGTCTGTTACCAGGAGTTGCGAAACACGTCAGGTAGGATGGACTAGATGCAATCTCTCGTTCAACATTCAGAGCGTGTCGGATTTGAGCCATCTCGAATGCTACTAAATGGTCGCATTGCTTTGGCCCATTTGCATGGTACTGAGCAAGGACACGCGCAGCTTGCGATTCCTGTGAGAACAATGACAGAAAGCTCGACCTGTGAATTCTAATTGACCGGGAGATTTTTTCGCGAATGCTCACCAGACCTTTAGCTGCTAGAAATCGAGGACTTTCCGGGATGAACCTAAACACGATCAGAAGTGCTGAGTCACGTTGGGGAATTTGAGAGTCAAAAATGCCGACCAAATCAACATCATTTGAAGGACAGGAATAGTAGCTTGAATGAATACAGGGACTCTCCACGACCATTGCGACGCCCCTGTTTCATCATAAGCGACCAGGCAGATCCAGGCCGCTGCAATACATGTGAGAAATCAATTCCATGGCACTGAATGTTACACACAGATAATGCTGCCAAAGTACCACATCGAATTGTATAGAGCAGTCAATTTTCCACGCTTGAATGATATTAGAGACGACTAATAACAGACGAGGTGATTGGACATACATGCGTTGGATAACTAAGTTCGCTGATGAGCAGGGGAGCAGCATTGATGGAAAAAGCTATGCCTAAGCCAACTGCCAGACAAGGATAAGCATCCGAAACATTCCGTGAATGGCAGTCTTACTGAGCACACGAGCGCCGATGAATACCTGCACGGTGGTGCATAAGGCTTGCGTGAAGACACCAGCCAGCACGATGATTGCCCCGATGAACATACTTGCTCGTCGTCCTAGCAAGTCAGACACATAAGGGGAAAATGGAATCCCCTAAAGCCAAAGTGAGCCGAGAATAATTTTCAACGAGCTGTTACAGCTTACGCTGAGGGCACCAATGCCTTGGGCAGAATTTATGAGGCCTAACAGTCGTGAATAGAGGATTACAGCAATTCCAGGACTACCTACCTAAGGTTTTTCCCTGCGGATGATGGAAGTATTCTTGCCATCCGGGCAAAATCTGCAGACCTAAGGTAACTTGAGTCGACCGTATGATAGTGAATGCTCACGACCGACCGTTTAGTATGGACGAATCAAGGCCATTCAGTACTGATGACAGCAGTGGTAATATCAAATAGATGTTTAAAACCAGGAGACCTGCGCGTCGACGTTGTCAAGTAAATTATTTGTTCCGGTACGCTTAGCCAAGCTCATACCACGATTCCTCCACCACGACTCTCGATTAATGAAGTCTGCAATTGTGTATTCCAGGACTGCCATCAAGACGAAGATGTTAAGTTGACAGGCAATTGGGGGAAAGGAACGAGAAGTTGAAGGTGATGAATTCTTGGGGTATCATGATATATTGTGATATATGCTTGCCATCACTTTCAAACAATCGAACGCAAGGGTCGCGTCCGAAGCCTTGACTTTAACCGCGTCAGACATACTTGGGTAATACAGAGATGAAATCTCGCAGTTCGGTACATTTCTTCCCAAAGTAAAGACGTGGTGAGAACGAGGGCGGCGAGTAGGCGGCGGCTCAACTATTGACGCACCCTATACATTCAAACCTTAGAAGTAAGGCCATGACAACCCGCAGTAACCCGCGATAGGTCCTAACGCCTGACGAATCTGTATTTGGCGCGGTTGCTAGCAGTAGTACATAGGATTACCCTGCTGCCCCATGTTCTTGCTGTAAATGTTTATCCCATTAGTACTGCTGTGCTTATTCATACTCTTTTCGTGGACTCACAAATTTACAGTATTCGTTATGTAACTCTAAGCTCAGCCTCGACAGCCTCGTCAGTCCACATTTGTCAAATGGATGGTATTAGACTCTGATCGCAAATGTTTTGACCTAGATTCGTTAAACTGGTCTGCAGTGCAATAAGACGTAGGTCAGGCCCACGGAAGCGGCGCCGCGGAACCATATCCGGAGCCAAGTCCCGCGACAAGGTTCGTGCTGATTTTCTGTTGGCTATGGTCATGGATATGGAGATGTCCCAACTCCCCTTTCCTGTCGCGATGGTGGTCGATGAACCCAAAAGGCTAAAATGTTCTCGCCCTACGAGCTGGTGCCTGGATAGCGAGCCTATCCTCGATTGAGTCGCGATGGATTTTCTATACTACTTCCCAAATTTTCACTATAAAACCATTATACATATAAGTAGTATATGCATCTATCAAATGGTTAGGACTCGCCTATGTAAATTGCGGTGGATTATTTGGGTCAATATGTTTTTCAACTGCTGTGAAAAAGTTGGATGGATGATCATATAGCGGCTGTGAAAATTTGCATTAGAACCGTACCCTCAGACTGGTCCCTGACTAGAATTTAAAAATTAGCTACATGGAAATATTAATTTGTTGCCGGCCTCCAGGCCGGAGCCTTCGGTTTCTCTCCCTCTGTGCCTGCCTTGTCGTGCTTCAGACGATTTGTTGACTTCGCTGTTGCAGGCTCTACATCACACGCCAAGTGTAGAAAGATTGTATATCGTCTTCGACTCGGACGCTTAGTACCACTCTCGGCAACGCCCGATGTAGGCGCTAGCCCGGTGATAATACTTGCTTCACAGTATTCACCGTGTTGTGCTCTCTTCCTTCGAATTCCTGGCGCGCGCTGGAACCGCTCACCACCTGACCCGGAGTCATTAAGGGAACTGAACATCATAACAGGAATCGTTCTTCGCATCTTGCTATTGTTTACTATTGGTTCCCGCCAGTTCGTGCCAAGTTCTTGCACGCCTCATCTCGTGCAGTCCCAGAATAGTCCCATTGACCGATTTCGCAATCTGCTCGGAGGGCACAAGGTACAATGGCTGCTGTGCAGCGGTTCAAAGGTGTTTCCTTCCGGCTGGAAGCAACCCTGGGTAGCTCGACCGCCGGGAGCCAAGTTGCGGCCATCTCGCAAATAAGGTACGCTTTGATTGTGTGGTCATCCTTTCAAGCCGCTTCTCATATGCTTCAGGCTGCTTCAGGTCAACCCCTCGGCTTCCCTCGGTTCTCCGGATCGGTGGTATTATGTTTGAATTTGGCGATATTATTGAGAGCATCGACCTCAGTGTTTCGATCGTCGCGTGCCAACAAGCTCAACAATATTGTGGAATTTGTAGTGTGTGTTTCTACCTGGCCCTTATAATTTGACGCCTGAGCATCACACAGAATCAGTAAAAGTGTATGCATGTCTCAAATGCGATCCGAGGTTTGTGTACACTTGGCTGGACAAAGAACATTACAAGACCGATGCCACTTCTGCGCGGTGCAAGCTGACTATCTGCGCAGGAGTCTTAATGAATCGCCACCGGCAGCTCAGGCGACCACTGCCCACACTAGACTGTTCATTCCTGGGCAACATCAGGCACCATAATCTCTGAGCTGGCATTACACGTATCCTTTCCCTTGTGGGTCTATCTCGACCCCGGCAGCCTCGCGATCGAGAGTCATTTATGTCTTCTCCCGACGATCAAGTGTCATGATGTCGTTCGTATTGTGTCTGCCTAAATAACGTATCATGCTATCCTTGTTCACATTTCGATTCATCCCTTACAGTGCGTACTATAACCACTCATGGGTGCAATCATTTGTAGGAGTTCGCGGGGCACCTTCGAAATATTTATCCGATGGTTCTTAGCTGGGCGGCTGAAATGTGCCCCGCGCAGGATGATGAACCTGTGATATGCTTAAGGCCGTACTGCGATCAACCGGATACGAGGCAAATCGTCAATTTCTCCTGCTAACCTACATACTAGACCTAGATCTTCGCAGTGACCACATGCTATCTTGTATCACCACATGGATACCAACGCCAATTCGGGTGCAATCGTTTCCACCTTTCGTGAAAGGCCGGGGTTGAGAATTTTTTTCAAGCTTGATGTATATTTTTAAGCTGTGTGGTTTCGCCGGTTGAGTTCAAATCGCTACGACTCATCTGATTGTTAGTCGGCCAAAGTGCGCAGTTTTGTAGGTTGAGTTTAGTTAAGTTAAAACTCATTTGAGTTGTTACCACCTCACGGTTGCCCCACGGCACAAAAATCTATCTTGCGTCTGTATCCCCTTAAAACACAGTCTGTTGAGTTGTGGTGCCGTGCCACCTTCCCACTGTCTACGGAAACGTTTCTCGCGATCTAACTTGAAGGCTTCCGGCGCCCATGATCCATTTCGATGTGAACGCCTTCAGCATCGGCAATACTAGCTTGCTGAAGGACAGCGTACATTTGCTGGACTCTGATTTGCTTTCATCAGTCTTAATTCAACTGAACAGGCTGTGAAGTATTTTGCGCTTGACGCGCGGTATCGCAACATTCCTCACAACTGAGCTCAGTAAACACAAAGGACATTTTTAACTATTCACATGCACGCTAGAATATAAATCATTCGGATCATTGCACTGCACAACAGCAGCTCCCAAGTATCCGAAGGTAAAGCGTCAGCCGGAATGTCTATGTAACAAAAGAACGATTGAAGGGGAAGACACAATCCAATCGAAATTGTGAGAGCAATGAGCACGTAAGCCCACTGTCGCACGAGGGAATGTAAACGTCAGTCGGGTGAAACTCCAATACTCCTGAAAGCAGACAGCCTAATGTACGTTGTAGATGTCGCAGGTAAATGATTAGCAAAAGAAAACCCTGTAAATGTCTCTGGAAGTCCGTCGACTGGTATCGCTCGTTTGATGCCAGAGCAAATCTAGAAAAGCAAGGCAGCAACAGCAGCAGCACCAGCAATGCCGGCAGCGCCAACGCGGACGACATTGGCAGAGGCAGCGGAAGAGCTTGTCGAAGCTGAACCGGCAGCAGTGGTTGCAGAGGTGCTACAGAACGAATGTGACGTCAGATCACGTGATAACTTGACAACAAATTCAATTTACGTATGAGCAGTAGTGCCAGTGCCAGAGGTAGCAGGAGTGGTACCAGTCGGTGCGGCAGCACTAGATGCGACAGTTGGACCAGAGGAAACTAGAAAACGAAACATCAGTGGGGTGATAGTACATACAGCAACAGACGTACGCGACGTGGTGTTAGTGCACGTAGTCGAAGCTGTGCCAAAATTAAACCCTAAGCAACCGATCAACAAGATCGACTGAAACACGCACATCCGGGGTTGACAGTGAACGGCGCTGACTGTGCAGTCAAGCCAGTGCTGTCGCGAAGGGTGAGACCAAGAGATGTCCCGGACTGGATGTTGCAGACCCAGGTCACTGAGGTGCTATTTTGCTGTCCCAAATTTTCAACAGCAGCACCATTGGGAGTCGCACCGGGTAGGATGCTGAAATGGCATTGAGTAAAATGACATGCATATACGAAACGAAGTTATTACCTCTGTGTAAAAGATAACAAAATAGAATTCGCTGCGGGTTAATGCCTGACAACCATGTTAATAGGACATCACCGACCAAGAAGTAGGGAGCTAAAATACAGTCAGACGCAGGAGACAGCGAGCTCGGATAACTCACCAGTTCCGCCCGACCACTGCAGGAGGGTGGGCTGGCACTCAACAACGTTGGCACTGTTCCGAGGATGGAATAAGACCTCGACAACTCAAGGTACACGTGTAAAATTGCTTACGGTGTATTAATGGTAAACTGGGCGAGAGTACCAGCTACGAAGAGCGCGAGGTAGGCGACAGAGAACTTCATCGTGAACTTATTGTCGTTGAGTTGAATGAGGTACAACAACGGGGGAAGAAGGTTGAACAACTGCGTGGAAAAAAAGGTCGTAGATTTTTTATTTATTTGCCCGACTTCTTATTTACATCATCACTATAGCTTCCAAACACGCCACGCCAACTCCACCTTACAGGTAATTTGATCAAACCAACATCAGATAAAGTACTATGTACAAAGTAAGTGCTCCTTCAAGTTCATCCCATGCATAGCTTCAACCTAATTTCTGTCGCAAGTCACTCATGGCTACTAGTAGAATCAGTTTTGAATTTTCGTTCAACACTGGACGCTCGTGGAATCGTTATTCGGGATGTCGTTGATAGCGTAAAAATACATCAGATAGTAGGGCCGAGCCCGATTGATGCTACTTCCGCAGTTCCTTAAGTATAGCGCGTCAGTGTTTTGGTCATGACATTGCACCCCGCCAAGTCTCACCAGGTGGTTCTTTCGTTATCTCTTCAATCTTCCCGCACAATGTGCACGCGTGTTACCAGTCCATAGTGGTCGCTCACCCATTTGCCTCTCCCAATCACCTCACCAATCCCTATCCTCTCTGGCTGGTCCACAACGAAACCATCCTGACTGGTAGTGAGCACCTTGTCTAACCTTCCAGGCGGTAATTGTTCACGAGTCTGGTATCCCCAAGTAAAGCCTTCCTCCTCCTCATCACCTTCCCAGGCGTCATACAGCTCGGCTTCATCCACGATCGTCTCATCAGTAGGGCTGATAGCATTCATATCCCCTGCGACAATGCCCCCGGATATTCCCCTCCCACGCAATGCAGCTGCGATGAGTTGCAATTGCCTAGGCCGTGCCGCGGCCCCTTCTAGCATCGATTCAAGATGCGTGTTTGCAACGCGCAGGGTAATGATGCCCCCTGATAGGCGAGGTTCGTCTTCGTGAGCTGGGATGCTCAGTTTAATATCAACAAATATGGCATTGCGTTTCATCTTAGAGTTGCTGAATGCGATGGTGAAGACATTGACCACGGGAATTGTGCGGGAGACCAGTGTGACATTTCCATACTTTGCTTGGTCTGGCCACTTGTCCGCGCTAGCGGGCACAACTATGAAACAGCGTCGCACCCATTCGGCATTGAGGATCTGTGTGAAAACTGACTCATGTATTTCCTGTAATAGGATGCAGCATGGTTCAGGCCGTTCATGAGTGGTCCTGCAGTCAAGAACGTGTTGCTGGATGTAGGAAAGAGCAGCAAGGAGCCGTTTCATCCTATCGGGAGCTGCGAAGTCGAGGTTCCATGTCACGAGGCGGACAGTAGATGGTAAGGGCTCCCTGACGCCTCTGGCGCAGTTGGAAGTCTGAGCCCAACGCTTTTTGCGAGATGAATAACGCACTGCGCGGAGCGGTATTTGGGCATCTGCCTCATGCCGCACGCGCACTCTTACTTGCAGGGGAGGAGCTTCATCTGGCTCCGTTTCATAGAAATCGGAGGGCGGGGAAGGTATGAACGATTCATCGATATCAGACATCGTCGATGGAGTTATGAGACGGATGGATGGCTGATTGAGTCTGGTCAAGGTGACGATGCGCTACAGTGTGCAAGGAATGTCGTGATGATGTTCCACTCAGGTTAAGGTGGTCAGCAGATGGGGCCTATCCAGTTTCGAATTGAAGAAATAAGTAGTCACGCAGTCCATTGTGATCGGTTGCATATCGGTCCTCGAGGCTCCTCGAGGCCTTCTTTTCTTCCGACGTCAAGTGCAACGTGCCCTCAAGAAATTAATCCGAAGTCCTGTTTTAGTTGTTTGCCAGCGTCTACAAATTACGATAGGTCCAAAAGTGAAAATTATCTTTAATATCATTGATTGCGTGGTGGTGGAAAATACCGAAACCTAGCTTTCTAGAGGCCGATCGATAAGCGTGAAGCTCGGATGATAGATAGCACCGACATAACATCCAGATTAACAAGTGTGTGGATCCGTGCACAAAGCAGATAATCGTGCGACATCAAAGCTCAGCTGTCGCTCTGCCGATGACACTCTCAACCTTCTCCTGTGCCTCTTCTAACTTTTTGGCCACGAATGCGCTCAGAATGTTGGCCTTCGTTTTGATCTCATCCAGCTTGGCAGGTGACATCGTGCGCTTGGTCAGGATAGACGCAAGGCTGATAAAGAGATATATCGGTCCATGATCAGTTAAACGCCTACAATGCCTGATTGCTTACCGCTTAGACTCCTTCTCGATATAGGATTCCTGGTCGTTTACAACTTTCTCCATCACACGGATATAGTATTTTGCCGTCTCGCCGAGTGACTCGGAAAGCGTCAAAGCCTCCTTGTGAATATAATCACGAGCGTCACCGGCAGCGGCCAAGAACTTCTGGGCAAGGGCATCGAGTTCCGCGATACGGCCAGCCTGCACTATGTCAGGAGAGGGTTGGATTACCGGTTTGCACGTGACCCACCTCGTCATTGAGACCACCACCAACGGCGCGATGAGTTCCGCAGCGCTCGTTGAGGAAAGCAACGAATGCTTGTTCAGTGCGAGGGCCTTCATAAGCCTCGACTTCATTTCCGCCACGAGGGAAGAACTTGATGGTAGGGTAAGATGACACTCCGTAGCGACCAGCAATCTCCTTGTTCGGTTGTGCATCCGCGTCAAAGTTGGCAACAACACACTGCAAAAGTATGCTGATTAGCTGAAACAGCAAATAGATCACCGAGTACTACGCACATTGCCCTCTGGTTTGAAGTCAATCGCAACTTGTGTGTAGGTATTAGGGAAATTATCAGAGAAATAGAAACCGACGCTTACCTTGTTCATAGATTGGCTTGAGGTTCTTGCAATGCCCGCACCATGGCGCGGTAAACGTGACAAGAACGTCTTTTGTCTCATCCAAGGCAACATCATCAAAGCTGTGGACATCAAGAATCAAGGTTTCAGGGGGCGGTGGGGGCTTGATACTCGATTTCACACCAGACTTCGCAGTGATGCTGAAGGAATACGTTAACACGGGGAGGGCATACAAATGCCGTGGGCTCACAAAGAAGCAAGTGCGTCAAGGTCTCGGCCGCCTTCGTAAGGCTCGATGTTCCCTTGCTCGTCAAACCACTTCAAAGCTGCATTCAAATATTGAGTATAGTATTCGTAGAAATTTCATATTGTAACTCACTAGGGTATCCAGTGACACCGTATTTCTGTCCCAAAGGTTTACCCGCGCCATCAGCATCGACTTTGGCAACGATAACTTTGCTCTTTGCGTGCGCAAAGGCATCGCCAAGTTGCTCGTATATAGGAGCGAGGTTCTAGAGTAAGCGTAAGTGTTTTGCTCTCGTGTTATTACAGGGACACGTACCTTGCAGTGACCACTACCGCGAGGTGTTCGTCAACTAGGGTTCACATGAGAGTGCAGAACACAACGTACCACCAAGGGGCAAAGCTGAAAGTAGAAGTTCAGGAGAAGAGTTTTTAGCAAATACCGCGGCGAGCTCACAATTCAACTAAACCAGGCTTCCCCTTACCAATTGCGCTGTCAAAATTGTCCGGGGTGAGCTCGACAACATTGGAGGCACTGACGCTAGCCAACAGTCCCGCAAAAAGAAGCGACAGTGACAGCTTCATGATGGTGGTTGGATTATTAATGGAAGAATACTGAGAGACGACGTGGAGCTTAAGTCCAAGTAAGCATCAATAGATGCAGTGCCTTATTATTAGTCAGCGGCTTAGAAGAATAGTCTATTATCTTCTCGTTATCACTTTTCGGTATAGCTTGACTCAGCGAGATTTCTCAGCAGTTGCAACCATATAACAGGGCTTCTCCAAAACAACACCGACCAAATCAATCACTCTGATACTATCGATGAATACAGCCCAGGAAATAGTGGAATACGGTTCAGATGAAGAAGGGGACGCGTTCATCGACTCGGGCGATGTCCTTGCAGAGGTTCCCGATGATGGTGATCATCCTATGGACGAAGATGATGAAGCAGAAGATGGGGTTGGCGATCTTCCATCCGGCGATTCTGATATAAAGGATAACTCGCTGCAGCACTTTACCACTCACAATGGCTCTGTGTTTGCTATATCATGTCATCCTACGGAACCGCTTGCAGTCTCCGGGGGTGAAGATGATCTTGGATACATATGGGATATAACGGACGGAGAAGTTATCGTAAAACTTACTGGACACACAGATAGCGTATGCAGCGCGTCTTTCAGCAGCGACGGTCAGATGGTTGCCACTGGTGGAATGGACGGGAAGGTGAGGATATGGAGAAGAGTTGGTACAACCGACTTCAGAAATTGGGAGTTCTTGACTGAGCTTCAGGGTCCGGATGAGGTGATTGTAAGTGTATCAGTGAACTCCTTGGACTATATTTCGATAATTCAAATTCAGTGGCTACGCTGGCATCCCCGCGGAACAATTTTACTCGCAGGCTCCAATGATTCTACGGTTTGGCTGTGGCAATGTATGTCAATGGTATACTAGCCCTCCCTGACATACTCACGTTAACAGTACCATCGGGGAATACCATGCAGGTATTCGCCGGACACAGTGGTCCAGTTCAATGTGGAGAATTTACGCCTGACGGTAAGTCCGAAGTACTGGAGCCCAAAAAATATCATTAACTTTTTGTTCATCAGGCAAGCGTATAGTAACCGCCTCTGAGGACGGAACTCTCATGTATTGGGATCCGCGATCACCAACTCCATTGTTCAAACTCTCACCGCAAGACGCCCGCTTTGATCTTGAGAACATTACATCTCTTGCAATAAATGCTTCTTCTACGCTCGCAGTTGTCGGTGGAACGTCCGGGAGTGTGCGTGTAGTAAGTCTCAGTAAGGGTGAGGTCGTCGGTGCCATTGGAGGACACGCTGAGGGGGAGAGCGTTGAAGCTGTGCAATTTGTCGATCTCACTGGAACGGGAAGCAGCCCTGGTGTTGTAGTCACTGGGGGGACGGATGGGAAAGCGTGTGTATGGGACCTCACCACAATGAGACTCCGTGCAACTCTCGAGCATCAGGTAAATTAATGTTTGTATTGGAAGGTTACTGCGCTGACGTTCTACAAGGACGCAGTAACGTCACTGTTAACTCACCCGGCACCAAAAAGTCACTTGATAGTGTCAGCGTCCGCAGACAACACGCTCCGCACGTGGGATGCTCGCACTGGCGCATTAGTCAAGGAGCACACCGGACACCATGGCCCTATACTCAGCGCGTCTCTGGGACTCCAAGGTTCCGTGGTTGTTAGCGGTGGGGATGATTCGGCTTGCCTAGTCTTCACTACGGAAGTCGACGAGTCGGGATAGAGGCTCACATTTTGAAGCACCTGCCACTGTGTTAGGTCGCTATGCCATTTATCATTCCTGGCATGCCACAAGAACAATACCCTTGTACTGTCCAGTTGGAATTATAGATTGTTCGAGAGCATATGGCTCGAGTCATACCCTGCAGTACTGCAAACAGACGACTCTCCTGCAGTTGATTAGTATCCTCCAATGATTGCCCTACTTCCGATCGAGGAAACAGACAGAAGGAGTAACAAGAAATTAAGTTGGATGGCCACTGATATACAGGTGTGTGCATTCACAAGATCGTACGTCACTGAGAGTTCGCTCGATAGTACACTTTTGATGGTCCAAATGGGATCGATCATGGAATCTTATCATTGAAGAAGGACTCGTCCCTCAAATCGTTCCATTATAATGTGATCCGAAGCGCTACACGTTTCAGCACCACTTACACTTACCTACAACTACTAGTGATTTTCCAGATAGTAATAGTAATTATTTGCTACAGCGGCACAAAGTAACCGAAAAGTAGATACATCGTAGCGGCGGCGAGCGCCAGTCCCCGACTCCGATACTCCGATAATACCTTGATCGTTTTTTGTACTTCCATGCGAATTCTCATGGGCTCGTCTAAGTCCTCCCATTCATGGATATAACAGTCAGTCAGGCCTAAGCTAACATCACAAAGTACGAGTCCCACCACAGGGCACCGGAGGTAAAAAAAGACGATAGGCAATATTGGGTCGAGAGTACGGAGAAGGCTGAAGGCGGTGAAAATAAATGAACAAAGACAGTGCATCTGCAAAACCACTGAAATGAACGCTTAACTTACGCGCGTTACGGACACTTACGAATGCTTACGACTTCACTAGCGAACTCATGCGATTGGTGGAGATCTATTTTACTGTCATTATTTTATTTCGCCGGTTGAACTTACGAGAGATGGAGAACCGAACGTTTTGATCAATGATAATCTGTCGCATCTCACTGAAGATAAAAGATGGGCTTGATTTGATCTCAGATCAAATAGATAAAAAAACAGACAACACGACGCAGTTAAATTGCATGATCAGAACATAACGAAGAATGTAACTAAATGTAACTAATGCAAATCTGAGCGCAATGAGTGATACACCTCCTTGTCCGAGAAATTGTTCAGATAAAAACGCTCATATACCTCCATACTCGTCGCTGCACCCACCGTACGGTCAGCGCCTTGGCCGTACATAGGGATAAGCTCTACCGCATGCGTGACATCTGTGAGAGGAATGACTGCACCCAATCTTATCCGCTGGCCTGTGGGCCCTTCCCAATATTTTCGGGCCACCGTATACATACTGATGGCAGGCTGACTGCCTGGATCCCCGACAATCTCATAGTACTGGACATAGAGGAGCGGTACGTCCGCAAGGTAGTGGGGAAGCGTGACGTGGCGAGGTGCAATGGGCTGGAAGACTACCCGCACTTGAGCAATACGATTTACTGTGTAACAATAATCAGTAATATGCAGCCAAGATAAGATAAATATTATTTACCTGTCTGGTCACCGTGTATCGACTGCGTAATCACAGCATCACAATTTCCTAGAGGAAACTGTTCTGATGGTGGGGCAGCCTGCACGACTTGACTAGGCATGATCATCCATGAGCGAAAAACGGAATGCAGCTGTAATCAAAACTTATTCCACGTCTTGAGGCGACCACGATCATTTCTCCACGCTGTCGTGAATTGACTGCCGGAAGCCTTCGTAATATAATCAGAAAGCGCTCGTCCAAAATCCGGCAGTGCGTAAAGCTGCTGGATTTCGTTGAGAGACATCTTGGCCTGATCAGGAGTAACGGTGACATGAAAGGCAGCCGTTGTTACGCACTCAAATAGATCTGTTATGCGGAGCCCTAAGAGGGGTGTCGTCCGCTAACGTTCGTGACGTAACCGGAAGGGTCCGGTGTAGCGACTGAGACTGGCGACAACGAGTCGGCAGATATCAGAGACGCGCGTGTCACGTGACTTCTAAGACGGATGTCTTCAAAGTCACTGACGTTCTCAAAGTAAGGACAGTCTTGTCTGAACGATGAGTTGTCGATCGAGGTAGACTTAGGCGCGATGAGCACCTAAGAAAAGATACTAGAGACTGAAGCTGAGGGGGCTTCAGAGGGAAGTATGTTCGAGGGAAGATTGAGTAGATTCAAGTTAGGGAATCTAGTACAGAGTGACCGACTACTTATACTAAGTGGAAAGGGTTAAGGGCAAGGCTACCGTACTGTAGGTAAGGGCAAAGGGGAAACGGAAAGGGTATAGGTACGCTGGTAGCAAAGCCTGATTAGTGATGTAAGGTCGAATGCGGAATGAGACCGAGAAACGTTGGAACGAGCCAACGGTAAATGATACAATGTGCAGCATGCACGAGTCAAAGGAAAGATAAGACAAGATAAGGAAAGCCACATTGATGGCACGAGTCAGAACGAGTCATAGCCCGAAGGCACGTGCGCACGTTGGTGCGATAAGAGGAGGACGAGGGACGGGAACGGTCCCGAGGATCCGGTCAATGGATAGTCGGTAGAGAAGTACGAGCCGGAGGCATACGAGGGCGAGGACGAAGGGGAAAAATGATAGGGGGGCCATGTAGCCGATGTTACTTGTAACAGCTGTAGCAGTGGAAGACAGGATGCCCTTCAAAAAGTGGTTTCAAACTGGGCGCGGCCCGACAAAACACCGTTGATTTGGATCATTAGGTGCGACGCGGGCGATCCATGCGAGAGCAGGGTCAGTTTCAGTGACCTCTTGCTCTTCTGTAACTATGGCATTGACGAGGGGGGAATCGTGCATCCGTAGGAAGAGGTACAATTGGAATCGCCGCATCGACTCCTCGCAGTTGAGAATGTCAACGATTTGTTCTGTGAAGGTACGTGACTGGCACGATGTCCTCTCAAAAGGGAGTTTACAGTGAGTAATGAGAAGACGCTCAGTGACGTCAGCAGTCCATTGGATGAGGGCGCCAGTGTCCTTGGTGAACGAAGCAAAACTCTGCAAAAGCTCGAGCTTCGGGATGATAAAGTTGTTGAGTGTTCCTTTGGTGCCTCATCTCGCGCCTGCATCCAATATTGCATGTTTCTGGTCATGAAACTCTTTGAGCGAGGCGACCATGGAATCAACAGAGGTGTCAGAATAAACAGGGCTTTGGGCCTGATAGATGAAGTCAATCAAAGCATGAATCACATGGACAAACGGGGGGGCACGACCCCAGTAATAGAAGGAACCAAGGTGCATTGCAAGTCCCGATGTTCCCGACCGGTCATTTGTTTCATCTGACATACTCCGGATGAAAAATGGCGTGTTCCTACTCTCTTGTGGTGACTTCGGAAACGGAGATCGAGTTCGTCCTTCCCCACCGATTCTTTGCACCACTTGAATGGGTGGTCAAAGAAAAACTTGTGACAGGTATGGAGAATTTCTCCTACCAGAAAGCGAGAAGGATCTGAGTGCCGCCAATTCCGCCAAAAAGGCTGGTGAATGCCACTTAATGAATGAGCCTTAGCTTCCTCCTGGAATTCTCGCAACCTCCATGGATCGATCCATTGACAGATGTTGTATATCGCCGTAAGTGTATGTTCTTTCGTGTGTGGTGGATGGCGATAAGTGTCACCAAAAGATTGAGATGTGGCCAATGTGATAGGAGAAGCGACCTTCGAGACACATGCTATAGCTTGCTGTTCCGGCAGATCCACAGTGTACGCGACCAAAGGTGTGAAGCAGTGTCGTAGATGTCCGGCTGGATCAGGCATGAACTTGCCCACCATGGCTGCGACCTTAGCGTCTGCGAAGACGATGTCCATGCACTTATGGAATAGACGTTGGCTGAGAATGGTTTGGTAGTCAGGATGAACGTCAACGAATTTGGGAATCGGCATATATGCCACACATTGCCAAGCATGACATGTTGCTCTCATCCGCACGTCAGATTGAATGTTGGCGATAGTGACAAAAATAGGGTGCATTTCAAGTCCTCCCGTATGCCGGGTCACAGGTGTCTTATCCGATGCAATGATCATCGGAACAATGGTAGCGCCTTCGGGAAGTTGATCCTGTACCGAAGCCATCAGTAGACTACTGTGAATGATACATCAAACTTACCTGAATTTCAAATGCTTGTTGGGCCGTAAAATATTCACTGTATTCGCGCTCATTACCATCGACCACGACGTGCGGGTCATATGTCATGTGGTTCGCAAAAATTGGATTTGCAAAGAGATCTTGCACTACCTCTAAGCCATCACGCCATATGAGGTTTATCGGTTGGATCGTTGGGTACCCAGTCATTTCAAGGGTCGTTGAACACCATTTTGGTCCGGTTGGAAGTGAAGCCACCCATGCAAGTAGCTGATCTTTGGAGCTGAACGACGGACCAGCTCGGCGTACCTGTAAACTCAATGTCAGTACACTAGCCCATACTCCACAGCTCCAGACAAACCCATTCCAGCTTGAGAAATCGCTCCATATCACTTTGCGTTAAGCATTCACAAAGGAATTTTGCAAGGTCAAACTCTGCCTGGTCTTGAAAGGGATAGAATGGAGCATGACGTCGGCGGTAAGCATACTGGTCATTTTCCATTGCCTCGAGGGTGTTTGGCGCCTTTCCAAATATATAGCCAGAAGATGGGTGGTACTGCCCAAAGACGCGGTCTTTTCCTGCTTCAGAAGTAGATCGAAGGAACGCGGGTGGGACAGGAATACAGCAATCTTGCACCGGAGGCCAGCAACCATTTGTTGCCTGGAGGTGTTCTAACACTGCCTCAGCAGAAGGCAAATCGATTTGACACTGGGGGCATTTTGCAATAGATGATCTGATGTGGTTACTGAGGTATCAATTCTAGAATGGAATAGAAACTTACAAATTGCCATCTACAATGAATGGCCCAGAATGATGGTTGCCAGTGTTCATAGTCACTGGAAGAATGCGGACTTTCACCTGCTTGAGCCAATGAGCCTAGGGTGCTACACTGCCAACACAGAGAAAAAGTTGCAAAGTCCTTCAAACTCCGCTTGGCACCCTGTTGTTCATAGCGATATCCCTCAACTGTAGTAGTATACTCCCCGTCCTTGAGCTTTGGCAAGTCTCTAACACTGATCTCTAGCCGCATATGGACGCACCTAACACTCGTATAACCCCCCCTCCTTTGTCTGACTGCGAGACCTCAACCTCAACTCGAGTCGACATAGCATCAGCATTCTCTAGTTCCAAGTTGGCGTCCCCTATGTCCCCTCTTACATCCTTCGGATCAGCCGAGTCCGACATAATTTCGCTCCCTCGGAAGAAATCTCAACGCATAGGCCATCCCTCCTCTGCCCACATCCCCAATCGTTCAGGCCCTTTGGTAAGGCAAGACCGTCTTCAGCGTTTCCGGGAAAAGATCCGCTCTCAGTACAAGCCGCGCCTCGTTTATCATTCTCCCCCATATGAGATTGCCTTTGCGAAGAGGCACATTACTCAGTCTTCACACAAACATTTCTCCCAGCAAGACTTGCATGAGGTAATTATCTCACTTCTCACTCCCGTGATTTTACTTAAACAAAGATTTAGGGCAAAGAGCTACTCCAAAGGAGCTTATCTCATCTATCCAATAGTACTTTCCACAAGGCCGCTCTAGTCAAACAGGCGTCAGCTCAGGACAAGAGACACGCGGTCATACACACGACCTGGAAACTCGAGTTGATTGAGAGGCAGAGGGCATTTATGCAGTCACTCCGGAAAGAGCAGGAAGAGGAGCTTAAGATGGCAGAGACTGAAATGGAGTTCTTCAGGCAGCTGGTCTGTGATCGAGGACTCCCTGCTTTGCAAGACGACCAACAATATTTGGAGGCAATTTTTGCTGAAAAATTGGACGATCTCGATGTCTCCAATGAGCAGTACAGACAGTTCATGACTCATGCGAGGAAGCATGTTGTTCCATTTGCGAATAGCAGCGACACGGAACTTTCCCCTGACGAACTCGTGGCAGATCATGATTCCTCAGACTCCCACAGTGATGGGGGGTCGGATGACCTCGTTTATGGAGCAAATGAATAGGAACTTTGGTACATTACTGCTAGTTCCCCATTCTTCTTCGTTCTATTAACGACACATGTTCAGTCAATCTGACACTGAACAATTGAATCCCTATCGCCTCCTATCGCCCCAATTTCATTCTGTATCGCCTATATCGCCTCCTATCCAATCCTGATGCCTTCCAATACGATCGTTTTGCGGTATTCTATATCTTTACCTCAGCCCATCACCACGACTTATCCGCATTTTCCACTTATGTCAAACGCGTTGTAGATTATGTATGATCTTTCCGATTTATACTCAACGTGTACGGTTCTTTATGTTTGAATATATGCTACATTGGGTAAGTAAATGGCTGGAAACCAATAAGATCCCATGGCCCCTCGACGAACAGTCTCTCAACCCCGAAGGATATCCGCTAAACAAAAGGTGAGTCCCCTCCATCGAACACTCGAACATTTCTGACACGATTTAGGCGCCGCCACGACCAAAAAAGAACTCGTCGCTCAACGCCTCAGGGCGCGACATCACAACCCAACTCGGTTTGCCTCAAGATCGCCCTCAAACACCCGAATCTGTACATCGCCCCCCCAGCATGGATGCAAATCAACTCCCTCCCTTCCAGCCCCAACCCCATTTCCCGCCCTCATTCGACCCGCAGGATTATCTAATGGGGGGTGGCTATGAGCCGCCCCAAGACCACTACCAACCTCAAGACCACTACCAGCCGCCTCAAGACCACCACCAGCCGCCCCAAGACCACTACCAGCCTCAAGACCACTACCAGCCGCCCCAAGACCACTACCAGCCTCAAGACCACTACCAGCCACCCCAAGACCTTTACCAGCCACCCCAAGACCTCTACCAGCCGCCCCAAGACCACTACCAACCTCAAGAGCACTACCAGCTGCCCCAAGACCACTACCAGCCGCCCCAAGACCACTACCATCCGCAAGACCACAACCAGCCGCACTACCAGCCGCAAGATCACAACCAGCCGCAGGACCACAATCAGCCACAGGACGACTTCCGGCAGGAGGGGTTCGACCAGGGAGGGTTGGAGCAGGGAGGGTTGGAGCAGGGAGGGTCGGGGCAGCATGGATTCCAGCCGCCGCCTCAACATCAACCACACGAAGGCGACGATGCTCGACCCATGCATCAAGAACTCGACCTTCACGGCCATGGCGTGCGACGACATATGCGCTGGAACCTCGGGGACGCTGGTGTCCCACGCGCGCAGCCACGTCCTCAAGTCATCGGTGTCGCACTTCCTCGCGAGAGGGAATCTGAATGCGGGGAGTTCACTCAAGGGGTCATTCATGTAAGTAGTCTCTTTATTTTCTAATATATGATAATATATAACATTACTATAGGAACTACGTACATCGCAAAGTGTTGGCCGGCACGGAACGCGTCCGGTCAACCGGCACCTACCTCCAATGCCAGTACCCGCACCTGCACCTGCACCTGCACCCACACCCGCACCCGCACCCGCACCACCCGAAACCACCTCTAACAACGAGGTTCCCGATTCTGTTTTCGCCATAGAACTCGACAAACCCACCATCAATTCCATCAAACTCTCTACGAAAGAAGAACTACGTCGCATGATGATGCAAGGGAGGGACGCCGTGTTGCCGACACGAAAGAAACGAGGCGCTGTCTTAGACAGAGCCCTCAAGAAGGCACGCATTTCAATAATTGGTCAAGGTAATTTTTCGTTGAGTTCATTCACGACATCACTAACACTTTGTTTTTTTAAAGTTTGCTATAAACCATTCGAAAAAAAGGCCGTTCGCGAAGAGCTCATGACATGCATGTCGAACGTACACCGGATATTTAGAGACTACGCCGCCAACATCATTCAAACGGCACTCAATCTACGACTACCTATATCCTTGGAACCTGGCAAGGAGGTCGCCCATAAGGCAGCACTAGTCCCGGAGCTCTTGAAGAACCTGAACTTCTTGCACAAGTCGGAGCTGGTATGTTTTTTTTTCTAATGTTCGCGCGCTGATTTTTGACTCACAAACTGACTAGGGTGAGGACGGCGTCGAACGGCTGCTGCTGCTGGAGGCTGATTATTTTGTCGAGATGATTGTCGACGTCATCTGGCAAAAAGGTCTTCATGAGTATATTGACCCGCTCCGACTCGACAGCGCGATCGCCCTCGCTGGGGCTGCATTGCAGAATGCACTGAAAGCTTACCGGACGGGCAGGTTTGAGTCCGTCGACGCGTCGGCAGAACAATTCTACGACACATACCATGCGATCCTGGTGCTGATTGACAGCATTTGAGCAGACCCTGCTCTGAAACTAAGGTACGAAAGGCTTCAGGAACTCATCGTGACGTGGGGCCGTGAGCGCATGGGTCTTGATCTCACTGATTCGAACGACGACGACGATTAGATAACATTTTCGGTAATATGTAGATTATCTTCGCTATCACTATGTACTACTAGATAATCTTCACTATCGCTATGTACCGCTCGATAATCTTTACAATTTTCGTTACAAACATATCAATTCAACTCTTTTGGGCGCAATAACACGTATTACGAACTACAAGCGACGAAAACAGACTAAAATCGCGCACTAACCAAAAACAACTCGAGCTGGGAGCCTCGAAGGAAACTTAGGTCCAGTTTGGACAACGACTCCGGGTTCGAAATTTCTGATTCAAACTGCACGTGATGATTGCACGTGATAGGTCCAGATGGCGTGTAAGTATATAGATAGATAATCGGCATATATATGCGTGTCATATCCATCACTGCCATGGATATTGAAGCGCAAATGCAACACGATTGACAACACAAAATTGTGGTCATTATCATCACCATTGTGGTCGCCCAGGTCACACATCTATACCATCTTTTATTCTTATCCCGCGCTGAAAGAATTCCTTACCACACATCCATACTTACTGGGCAAGCATGGGTATATGAACTGATCAGTGGTCATCCAGACAGGATCAGACACAATTTCGGCGTCGACCTTCAAATTTTCGATGAGCTGTTAGCAGTTCTTAACTGACACGGCTTTGTCCAGTCCCGGAATGGGGTAAGTGTGTCAGAGCAACTCAGCATTTTTCTCTACACGTGTGTTACTGGACTTTCGTCTCGCCACGTCAGAGAAAGGTTCCAGCGCTCTCCCGATACGATTACAAGGTAAGTGCCTAACTTTTGATATAACTATTGTTCAAGTTGTGCTGATTTCTGCAGATATTTTAAACGCCTACTCATGTTCTTTTCATCGGCTCCCTTCTACACCTTGAACGTCCGCTTCCCGGACCAAAACACCCCACTTTCTGCGGCAATTCACGCTGACCCTCAATTCTGATTCTTCGACCACTGTATCGGTGCTGTTGACGGCACCCACATCCGCATTTTTGCGCCGCTTGAAGACCATGTTGTCCTGCGCAACAGGAAAGGCTTTTTATCGCAGAACTGCTTGTTTATCTGCGACCTCGACTTCTTTTTCATTTACTCACTCACAGGGTGGGACGGCTCAGTTGCCGATGCTTCCCTTTGGAACGACGCATGCTCTCATGATTTGCGTGTGCCCAAAGACAAGTATCTTCTAGCCGATGCTGGCTTTGGTACATGCGACGCACTTCTCGTGCCTTATCGAGGTGTCCGCTACCACCTGAAGGAATGGCGTCAAGCTAATCTCGCGTGAGTTCCTTTTTTCTTTTGTCAGTCTGTCTATTAATTTTTTTCTAGGCCTAAAGACCCGAAAGAGTTGTTCAACTTGCGACACGCTGCACTTCGCAACATCATCGAGCGGATATTCGGCATCATGAAACAACAATGGCGCATCTTAATATGCGCACCTGAATACTCCATGGACATCCAGTCCCGGATCCCAGCGGCGCTTTGCGCCATTCACAACTTCATGCGAAGAAACAACGGTGATATATTTGATCTTGCCCTCGAGTACGGGCACGATCTAGCAGAGGATGATGGTGTTGGATCTGGCGCACATTCAGAGGGACCGGCGGATGCTGCTGAGCGCAGACGCGCAGATGCTCGTAGGGACGGAATCGCGCAAGCAATGTGGACTGACTATCTCGCAGAACATGCACGAAGGGGACTCCCATTGCCATAGTTGTAGGTAATACATGAATTTTGTACTACGAAATGATCTGTACGCCGCTACGATACAATCATATATTCTTGTGAGTCAATTGATCGCCGTGGTGCACCACCGCAAAGGACTCACTTCTCTTCCAACCACTCAAGCCTCGTCACCTCATCCAACGAGTAGAAAATGATCGCCTGGTTCTCGTGTTCAGCTAGAAAGTTGGCAATGCCCAAGCGCTCTTTGCTCGTGAGGTCTGTATATTTATTGAGGAGGGAAATGGCGCTTCCAACATGCGTGGAAGGCTGAGGCTGTGGCTGCACTGGCGGCAGCGCCGGCGCTAATACAAGAGTCTTCTGCATCTCACGTACTACTTCTACGAGGCTTTTCATCGTTTTGGTGCCCTCCTGCTGTGCCAATAGCGTGGCAGATGGTGGCCGGCCTCATTTCTGAGAGCCTGCAGCTGACGCAGGCGAAAGCGCGCTGCGTTTTCGCTTTCCCCGGCTTATACTTGTCCATGCCGAGCCACCGGCAGAGGTAGACCCTTCCGTGGAAGGAGCGAGAAAGGTAGATGGAGGGTCCACTGAGGATGGTGGCGGGTACACTGAGGATGGTGGCGGGTACACTGAGGATGATGGCGGGTACACTGAGGATGGTGGCGGGTCCACTGAGGATGGTGGCAGGCCCACTGAGGATGGTGGCGGCCCTGGAAGTGTGTTGTCTGTGGCTGTGGGGATGGAGGATGGTGTGGTGGCATTGGTGGCGGTGGTAGGTCGGAAGATGTGAGAGCCTTTCGACTTGCTTGGCATCAACTGCTGCATGATATCGAAGTGGTCGAAGCCCTTCATCATGAAGGGCCTCGCGTGAGGATGCGACTGAAAACAATATCAGTAGAGGGGTATGCATGCAGTCTATTTGCGATGACGTACCTTTATAAAGCGTGCCCATACGTCGTCCTTTTTGTCCGTGATACCCGCTCCATGATCATCACTCCAAGTAAAACCAGAAGTACACTTAATTTCAACAACACTTTGGTATGCTTTCTTTAACTATAAAAATATATGTCATTGATTTGCTGGCGGCTGAAAGTTCACTGGAAACATACCGATGTCCACTTATTTTTGCAAACTGTGCCAACCTTTTCTGCGCCCCTTTGATGCGGGTGTTTTATCTTGAGGTGCGCATATGCTTGATTGAAGGTGGGCGCCTTGAAGCCCCCATCGCCTGATGCAGGAAGGGCCTGCAGAAGGAACTCAAGAAAGGTGGTTTCTTCTGCCTTCGTCCACACCGCAGGAGCCTTCCTGGTCGTTCCGCAAGATGCAGCAGCTGATGTCACATCTATAGTACCCCGGGAACGTAAGGAATGCGAAGAGCCGCCGCTTGATTTATCAGACATTGTGATGATACTAGAGTATCTTTTGTTTTATTAGATAATAGATGCTTATTAACGCAGTCAGGTCATCACGTGCGGTTTGAGCCAGAAATTTTGAACCCGGAGTCATTGTCCAAACTGGACCTTAAAGGTCCGTTTTCGGTTTTTCAACTTTCAGATAACTGAATCGTAATGTCTCAGTTATGTACGTAATCAATTCCCACGACACGTCCATTGACAGAAAAATGAGCATGTTTGCGTCTGACAAAACCCTTCTCCCACTTCGTGGGAGTCGGGGAACAACGTGCAACCAATATATACGTAGTCATCCGCCGCAGCCGGTGACCACACACACGCAGCGGTACCCACGATATAAACAATCGAAACATCGATATATATTATCTTGTTCTCGATCCTCTTACTCGTACCACTATATACGCCATTTAACGTGTCTGGGAGTCTTGGTGTTTATTTTGATCGACGGACATGTATAACGGATTCCAAGCTGAAAGCAACAACCCGTTCTTGAGTGATGCCCAGGCTGCCCCTGCACATGCCCGTTTCCCCGATATTTCTGCATCAACCCTTCCACAGTCGCCGCCGCAGATGCGCTACCAGTCTTACGACACCGGTTATCAGCAACAGCCCTATTTTCAACAACAACAACAACAGCAATATCCGCAGTTTCAAGGACAGACACCCTATAACCAGCCACAGCAATACCAACGGAATCAGTATGCGTCTACGTCTTATAGTTCGGGGTATGTCAATCGTACATAGCCTACATTAACTGCAGGCTTACCTTCACGTTTCACCAGACAACTTGGCCCACAATCGACTGGCCTGCCTTTTCAGCCGTCTGGTCATTTTGGACAACAGCTAGTGTCCCAAGGAGACTTCCAACAGCCTTATCAACAATATCCAAACGGGTACCAGAACCAGTATGCTCAGCAGCAGCAGCAGCAACAACAACAACAACAACAGCAACAACAACAGCAATACGGAGGCTACCAAGGTGGCTACCAGCCTCAGCAACAAACCCCGAGTTACCTCTCTGAGTTTGATCCATACACATCCCACCCCACTCCTTCACATAACAGGTCCAGTTCCCAGCCAACTAGCCTTGCAAGCCACAATCCTGGTGGTGCGATGCACCCTCGGGATTATATTCGCCAACATAAAGCTGAACTGGAGGCTTGGGATCCGTACACGTGGAAGCAGATGTTTAACGCTTGTGATGCGCTCAGCGCAGCCTGGCTTACACGAAAGCAAGAGACGGAAAGGGTAGTGCAGCAGCTGGGCGGGAACGGTGCACCGGGTTTGTTCGGTCCACCATCTGGTTATCAGGCATATGGCAGCGAACTTCAGAGATGGCAACAGGTAATTGCTTCCTCATCGACTGATTTGCATTTGACTTACCCATTCCTCCAGATTGTGAAAGAAGCTAATTCGTATCATGGTGATCTCTGTACTCTACTGCGAGTTTTGCCAATATTCATCACGCACTTTCTACAGATACCGTCGCGGCCTCTGCATTTCAGCTGAAAGAGGTTCACTCCTCATATAGACAGTCAGGAGATGCTGTGAGCAAGCGACGCGTGCGTGAATCTTGCAACGCTGCGCTGTCGAACTTGCCCGACTGGCCTGCACCATTAAATGCCAATCAGTCTTGGTAGAATTTCTTCACCTTGCTATGGATCATCGATCAGCAAAGGGATTTACGTTACGATTCTTTACGCAACATGTCATTGTATTTCTTGCTTTTGGTCTGTCCTGTTGTGCATCTCTCTACTGGCGCCGGCGTGATGCTGTATTGCTACGCATTGGGGCGATTTCTCTGTCACCTCATACTTACATTCCTTTCTTTCTTGCAACTAACCAAATGGGAGTTCTTGTATTTCTATGGATATTAAATCGGTATATGATCGTCGCAGACATTGACCCAGCTGGTGGTCACGGTGATACTCAAGATAGGTAAACATCCCAGACGTCTGCGTTATCGCATGCGATGACTGAGTATCTATTCAATACACTAACCTTCCTTTTGAGCCACGAGAGGTAATACTTGCACCTGACTGTTTCGTCTGCACTCGACTGACGACTCCGTTCCGCAGTCCTCCATGCCGACACTGTCATCTCCTCTGACCAATGTTATGTCTAGAAGTGCGACCGCTGAGGTTGCGCAGCTTCGCGCTAAGATCGATGAAGACCTTGCTACGTACGTTAACTGAGTCTATGCGCAGGCTTTGCTTTCGCAGGAACTGTTTAGCTCCTATCTCTGGCCTTCCAAGACGATTATATTTGAATACTTCGAAGAAGATAATCGTCTCGATGGATATGATAGCGAGTATTTAAATTCCTTGCTTGCCTAACACTTACACACGTCTGTAGACACTGGGGCAATGTGGCTCTCGAGTGCTCGACTCTTTGGAGATACATCAGCACTCCTTCTGCTTTTTGGCTAGACCTCATGCTTGAGAGGTCAAAGGAAACTCCACATACACCATTCCGATGCCACTAGATGATTGCTTGGAGAAAGTCTTGTTACATCTACCTCGGATCGAATAGTATTATCATCTCAGCCTGCACCGATGCTTAAAACGTTCAAATTCCGGGCTAGAGATGGCCTTCCAATGGGACCCATATCAACCCCCATCTTCCAAGGACAAGCACCCCTACTTCGGGATGTCATGGTCGACTATCGTGATCGCAGCTGGTCATCGTGTATGTTTGGTGGGCTTCGCTCTCTAAATATGACAGCGAACGCGCTTGCAGGGCTGCGCTCCGGATTCAAAGGTCGTCAGATGTAACATATCCCTCGCTCCGTGTTCTAAAGCTTCAAGATATGGTGCTCCACGATGACGAACTTAAAGATATTCGAGACATCTTGGCAATGCGGATCACACATGATCATAAACTTCGCATACAAGACCTCCGGCTCATGCTATGCAGTAGTTTCACGGTCGATCAGCAGCTCTTTAGGGAGGTGGTTGTGAACGTCGATTGTGGTGAATTGACTCTTAATGCTAGGCGCAGTTCGAGAGAGATGCTGCCCTGATTGCTTTGAATAGACTGGCGTTTTCATGTATTTTAAGTATGTCTGTATCGTAACAGCGTCAGCGCCAGCCCTCGACTCGCTTAAGTTTAGCCAAATTATGATGTGTTATGTCTGTAATACCTCGTACAGTCGGGACCGGGGCTCTTAATTAGATGTATTGAACTTGTCTCAGTAACAATCTTACAAAAAATATCTATTTCAGTCATGTTCACGCAACTTGAATCGGTAATCCCATCGCAACTCGCGCAATATGCTCCTTCACATCCGTGTCGGCGCCTAAGCCAACATATGTGGTGTTCGGCTTGTCCTTGACAAAGTCGGGGGGATTGATGCCCGCGAGGAACGTCTCTGCTTGTTTCTTCACGTACTCGGTGTTCATGGGTGTCTGTGGCACCGCGCCGATGTACATAACTGAACAACAACGATTTGCATTAGTGTGATCCTTGAACCAAGAAATGCAGAACATGCCTGCCGAATCTTCTTGACCGGTGTGCTCTTCCTCGACGGAGTGTACAACATCCTGTGATTGCGCTCGCATGAGAAATAATGGAATATAAAGGAATGGAAACATACGCAGTGCCAGAACACCATATCTCCCGGGTTGACCTTCGGCACGGACGTCATTGTCTTCTCAAGCCTAAGGTGCGGGTGCACTTCCGGCGTCGGACGCGGACCAGAGTATCCGGTTGGATGGATTAAGATACCAGGGAAATCAGGGGTGGAGATGTCTTCCGATGAAGTCAGCTTGAGCTAGTGCTATTCAAATAAGTAGACATACCAAATACCCAATTCTCTGGCTTGAGGATATCCTCCGAGTCGGGCGGGACAGTGGGGCGGAAGAATGGGCGGAGAATAGTGTATGCGTTTGAGAGGACAAGATCAGGGAATACCCGGAGCGTTCCCTGTGTTGGAGCAGCCTCACTGGAATTACGACCATGTCAGGTCTGCTGTGTGAATGGGACCAAAATTTTGTGGAATACAAACCTCATTGCCAACCAACCTTGGTAAGACCTGAATATAGTCGCCTATAAAGTAACAAAGATTAGGTAGCTAAGAGGACAGAGGGAATACCTACTTGTCCCGGTCTACCATACAATGAGCTCCGGGCATCCAGACGACCCTCGAGTTCATATGGGTCGTGTGCGCGCCAGTTACCACTAAGAATATCAGCAAAGCATTTACGGAAGCTTTCGTCCTCCCAGCGCTCAATTGCACCACCTTGCGTACGCTCAGCTATTTCGATGATTCAATTTTGTGTGGCGGAACGCACCATCGACATGAGGGGGGAAGTTATTCCATCCTGGGCCAGGATGGCGAATACGGAATCGGTCGGCATACACAAGGGGAACATTGAGGTCAACGCCCTCGAGTGGCTTGCCTGACTTAACATGATACAGCTTGTTTAGCCACGCGGAAGCTTTGAGGACATTTGGGTGTGCGCGGGCTTGCACTTGTGGACGCGTCCAACTAATAGAGTGATCGGAACATCTTTCAAGATGATTAGAAAAAACATGCTTACTACAGCATGAAGAATTGCTTGTCTTGCTCAGGGAATCCTGTTTGTCGCATCAATAACGTATTGTTCGGAATATTTACTCAATACCTTGAACATGGGGATTAGCTTTGACGAAGTCATCAAGAGCAGTCTTCCAAGCTCGGGCTTCACTATCATCGACAACATCCTTGATAACGACGGTGCCTTTGCGCCGAATGATATCGACTTCCTCGGCAGAGAGCTTATCAAGGTCCTCATACCGGACTTGGGGGATATACTATGCACGTGGTCAGGTTGTATAAAATCAAGGAGACAACATGGGCGCTCACATCCGGGCCAGCTTGCGCAATGTCGGCGGTACGCTTGTCGAGCTCTTCGAGGATATCCTTCCAAGATTCTGTGAGACGCTTCTCATAGTCGGGCGTAGCCTCGACTATCTGGCGCTTCAAGTCAACGAATCGCTCTGGCCATGTAGTGTTCTGCATGTTGCTGCGGGGAATGTAGAAACCTGCAATAATGAACAACTCGAAGTGACTCGGGCTTATATACTTCTCGTGATATAGGATGTTCGTGCTTATAGAATGATCAGGTGGACCGTTTACAAAACAAAGGAGATATAAGGAGTTTCCTCGGTGATGATTACGTACTATAATTACGCGCGTCGGACTTGGAGGATGCATCGATGAGTAGTAAGAGGCACGGGATGACTCACAAGACGCTATCGGGGTAAGAACAAGACGGCCCGGTGGACTGTATGTTGATCCGACAACAAGCGTTGCATTTCACAAATCATGGGGCGCAGTGTATGCATCATTTGTACAACATGAGACGAGTAGAACCGCAGCTCAAGGCGCCCGCCATGTGACGGAGAAGGCCGCACATTCAAATCACTGGCAGGTGAACTTTTGTCTCAAGTCTATAAAACATTTGTTTAATAAAGATCTGGTAATCTTCAAGTCAACCTTACTGTTCACTTGTCGAGGACGTAGGCAGATGCTGCAGAGAGAAAGATAATAGAAGACCACTACTAAGTAGTATATACTTAGGCTAGAACCCGATAGAACTTCAAGAAGCTTGAAATTTCTGAAAGCCGAACTCTGACTTATAAGCCCCACGTGATCGAAATACACCTATTGTGTTTGGTTATGTTTGACTCAATGCTCGCCAAATTCTTTCCAGTGCACCTCTGATCAATTCTACTTTAACGTTGTCACCATCGGTCTCGACAGCGAGCTCGACATTTCTTAACTGTTTGTTTATTTTACTTTAAAACTGATCTCATGCTTGTGAGCGAACTCTTTTGACTCGAAATTCTGTTTCATTGACCCGGATCGCGTTTCCGATCTAGTCATAACTTTGAAATCGTGTTCGATTGCTGTCATCTGGAGTAATCCAACATTCATCGATAAACCCACAAAACAGATATTTGTTAAGGTGTCACTCTCCATAAATCCCATAACCCAATAACTCACACGGCCTGCAAGTTGCAGCATGGATGAAGATGACGAAGACTCTCTCTTTGGCTCGCCGCCCCCATCTCCAGTTAGAGGTAGGTCACCGGCATTTCCTGCTCAAGCAGCCCAAGAAAGGGGCACAGGCATAACACAAAATGTGGGGGCCATTGCACTTCCTGGTTCCCATATGTCATGTTCTGAACTACCAGCCGACCTACTAGCCTTGCCGTTCGGCGGCTTTAGCACTCGCGAGCCTCCATCGCATGCGGTGCTAGTGCAAAACACCTTACAAGCGCACCTGACGCAATCGCCTCGTGTTGCCTCATCGGTACCTTTTTCGACATCTCGCCCCTCTTCTAGGGCCATGGGAAAACGGAAAACGACAAAATCGCAAGCAGCAACGCCCCGTCCTGCACCCCCGCCTATACCGTTACCTGGCCCAAATGAACCACTACCTTCTAATTTCTTGCGAAACCAGGAAGCGTTATTAGGCATAGCTGGCCTCGTCGGAAACGTGAAACCCATCAGCCTTCCACAACAAACAGTCCGCGGGTCTACGCCTTCTAACCCTATCATTATTGAGGAATCTGATCCAACACGCCTGCCTCATGTCGATCCTAATCAGTTCACTTCAGTCAATGGAGAAGATGCTATCACCTCCCTCATCAGACAGAAAAATATATATCCCGTATTATCGAGCATCGTGAAACTCCTGGGCAACTCTCCAGCTGCATCCACACAACCACCATCTACTTATGATCGTGCATCTTCGCGCCCATGCAGTGAGCCAGCAACGACTGCTCCACCCCCACTGAAGCGTCGCAAACTCACAAGCGTCCCTGCTGGTGCAGTGGAGTGGGACGTGCCCTACCCATTTCCTGAAGGTGAGGGCCCTGAGGCATATCACGCTACATGGGAGCGGGAGCGTGTGAGGCATTTAATTTCACAACTTGTGGAGTCGATCAAGGCTGCTTCTGAGCCATCTCCGCTTGATGTCGATCAGGTACCACCGTCTTCTTCGCAGTCATCCTTGCTTGCCTCTGAACCCTCCAGGCGCACATTGTCACCATCTCTTGTATCACCTACAATTACCAATACCTTTCAGCATATAATTCCCGACAGCACCATTGATCCTGCACTTCTTGCTATTTCCGTTCCACCATCAGTCACATACAATGCATCTTCTCCGGTTCCAGCACTCGTTCATTCTCCAATCACATCCACTGATTCGTCTGATGGGGCTCTCACCCCACCTGCATATAATGACCAAGGTGCATTGTCTCAAGGTAGTTGGATGGCTAAATATGCTCACCTATTTCACGCGAATGACGTAGATTCAGTGACTGCTGCCAAAATGTTGTTGCAGTTCGCTGCAAAACCTACTGTACCTCCGCCTACTCCTTCACACATAGACCTTTCACCGGCGGTACTTACGCCATACCCTCAAACTGCTCCATCTCATTTCTCGTCATTGACGCAGCCAGTCTCCCCTCAAACATCCCGCGCGCTGTCGGTCCAATCCACGCATAAATCGACTCCTGTCGTTCCTCGGGGCGCCAGCTTCAAGGCGGTTCATAAAGAAGACATCCTCCAGCGCGCAAGGGAACGTCGCCGACAGATTATTGGAGAGATAGAGCGGGCAAAAGTGGAGTTGTGGGAGACGAGTATTGAGGGAGGGGTGTTGGGGCATCTGATGAAGGATCCAACGCTGTCTTAATACGGTTTACTTACGAGATTCAGTGTGTATCGCATGCAGTAGTAGCTCAACCCGTTCCTCGAGCCATGCATTCATACTATATAACTACCGCTACACGCCGCTCCTAGTGTTGTTGGCAGAATGCTGCCATTCTGCCGGTGGCAATTGCCAAGCGGCAATTGCCGGCAGTAGGTCGAAGGTGGTTGGCAGAAGTCGGCAGAAATATTATGACCTAGTATTTGTTCCGACTAACAAACAGTAAAAATTTGACATATGTTAGAATGTATCTTGGTGGTTGTTACCATGGCCTCAAAGTCCAAGGGCGGCAAGGGCCGTCCCGTCCGAAAACTTGTGTCTGACCACTTTGTTATTGGGGAGAAAGTCAAAAACAACTCAAACCGCTACTTCTTCACATGCAACTACTGCTCGGCATCCATTGAGGGCCGTGACGATAACCATCTCAAACATTTAATCGACCAGAAAACATGTCCCAATGCCCCTGATCGTACTCGCGCAGAAGTTCGTGGCTACCTTGCTACAAAAAAAGGCAATCAAGACCTTCTATCCCCACCTATCACCTCCACAACTTCGGAGTCAAATAGCCATTCTCAGGGTCAGACTAGCGTGGAATCACGAAAACGGAGCAATCTTCTTGGATATGTAGACCTCCCTGTCACACCTGAGCAAACCAATCGAGCACATTTCAAGCTGCTTCGGTCAGTAATTACTTTGTATTGTGATGTAATTACTCATTCATGGGCACAGGTTCATTGTTCACTCCAACATACCATTCTCAATTACTGAAAACTGGTTCTTCCGGCACTTCCTTGATGAAATACGTCCCTCCTATCAGGCACCATCACGTTATGTACTCTCGCACTCGATCATGGACAGTGAGATAGCTCGTGTCCAAATGGAAGATATTGCTCGTCTTAAAGGTCGTAAACGTCTCACCTATCTGCTTGATGGTTGGGAGGATAAGATTCGACGGAGCTTGTATGGCTCCATGGCTGCAGAAGTCAACCAGCATCCTGTTGTGCTCAGTCTCGAAGACATGACAGGACACCGAGGTTCTGCAGACAAGTTACTCGAAGTCTCTGTGAAAGCCTTAGAACGAATGGAGATTGGTGATGGACATAACATAATTGCTGTGACGACGGACGATCCAACTGTGATGCAATCCTTCCGACGGAAATTTCAAGCAAAGTTCTACTGGGTCATTGTCAGTTTGATGCTCTTGTCTTATCATACTATGTATGAGCTCATTTGATTGCTAGACGTTACCCTGTTTTCTTCATGGCCTTAACACCATCATAGGTGAAATATGTGCCCACCCGTTTATGAAGCAAAATGTCACAAAGGCCACACGTGTCGTTACATTTTTCAATGGATCACACTACTGGGGTGGTCAGCTGAAAGAGCAAGCAAAGATTGATAATGTCAAGCGCGGATTGAAGAAGAACTGTGAATCTCGTTGGTATGCACTTATTCTTCAGTCAATGAGTGTTCGAGATCATAGGTATTTACTAGTGATATTTGTTTTGAATGACGAGCTGATAAAGCTGGGAAACCTGTTCGTCGAAAACACGCACATATGCATACCCGTCCTGAACACGGACTCGACATTGCTCTCGCTGACGAGCTACAAAGATCATTTGCATGGATCCCTCCCCTCGCAACAGACTCTGATGACCAGGATTATCTCGCGGGTCCGGAATCAATTACAGATGAGGAGTTGGTGGATGAATTTGAAAGATTCGAGCGCGAGACGCGGGAGGCTGGCCAAGCACGAGAAAATAATGAGGCAAGCGGTAGTTTGTTTGCAGGTGATGTGCCGGATGTTCTGGATGGCAGCCTCGTTGACTGGAGTGAGCTAGAAAGGGTTAACAAAGGTATCACACCAACTGGCTTCGTTGAAGAGATTGAGGTACTCAATCGAAGCTCAAACGATGTATCAGGGTGGAATGTTGATGCACTTTTGACGTCAGAAGGCATAGCCTCAATGTAGTAGTTGAAACTATTTTTGCCGTAGTATAAACATAGTTGAAAAGAGCTAAAAACGCTCACAATACATTTTGCCGACTTCTGCCATTCTGCCAACTGCCGTTCTGCCGTTCTGCCAACTGCCGAGAGGCCAATTTACTTCTGCCCACGACACTAGCCGCTCCTGAATTTGCATTGAATTGAAGACAGGGAAAATTGGTCATGGCAAGGAGGACCGTTTTACCCCTTGCCATGGCGAAGCTGCCCTGATGTGGCGCCGCGGTCACGTGGTGTGGCTGCTTGGCTTTATTGCTCACTGCGGTCACCGCTCAAGATACTATTACTCTTGTTCTCAACGTCAGATGTACAAACTCAACTGCATTGTCTTGGGCGATGATCCTAGTCATGCATTTGAGATCAAGATTGAACCAACAGAGAGTGTCAGCGCCCTCCGAAAGGCTATCAAGGACGCGAAGAAGCCACATTTTGACCATGTTGCTGCTGACGATCTTGCGCTATGGAGGGTGAGTGATCTGATGCCTACGATTGGATGCTGATGATCTGATACTTTGAAAGGTCGACCTGCCTGCCGACGAGGCGCCCAAAAACCATACACTTGATTCAAAGCAAAGCCTGTCAGCTGTGGCTAAATTGTCCAAATTTTTCTCTGAACAACCCAACGAAGAACACCTGCATATCGTTGTCCAAGGCCCACCTGCCGGTGAGTTGTCTTTCGATATTGCCATCCTTTCCTCCCTACTGACCGCGGTCTGACTTAGTGTCTTCTGGACCGCTCCACCTCCGACTCAACTGCATTGTCTTGGGTGATGATCCTAGCCATGCATTTGAGATCAAGATTGCACCAACAGAGAGTGTCAGCGCCCTCCGAAAGGCTATCAAGGACGCGAAGAAGCCACATTTTGACCATGTTGCTGCTGACGATCTTGAGCTATGGAGGGTGAGTGATCTGATGCCTACGATTGGATGCTGATGATCTGATACTTTGAAAGGTCGACCTGCCTGCCGACGAGGCGCCCAAAAACCATTCACTTGATTCAAAGCAAAGCCTGTCAGCTGTGGCTAAATTGTCCAAATTTTTCTCTGAACAACCCAACGAAGAACACCTGCATATCGTTGTCCAACCGCAGCATACCGGTAAGTTGTTTGTCAGTTTGCCACCCATTCCTTGAAAACTGATCTGCATCGCGTCTGGTTATTAGTTCCTGTAGTGCCACGCATTCCACTTGTTGATACACGGTTGGCTTATCTCAAGAAGGCCTCAGGTGCTCCGTCAGCTGGTGCAAAACCGGCCTCATTCGCTGCAACACAGGATAAGGAAGAGTACCTTTGCAATCGTCCTCGCAGGGCCGCGGACTCCCTTCCAGTTACTCTTCTCGAGCCTATCTTTGGCGAATTTGTGGATGATTGTCAAAATTATCAACCAACTGACCACGATAACGACTTTGTTTGGAAACTTTCGGAAAATATGTCCTCCTTCCATCCCGATGAGCTCACGCGGATGAATGTATTCAGGCATCTGCTCCGCGGCTACGGTATCATACTCCATTCCTCTGCGATCGGCTCGACAAAATATACGACTGACGGACATCTTTTGTCCGACGACGGAAATTTTGTGCAGGTGATATTGGAGGGGGAAAATGAGATCGGAAGCGGCGGTGCCGAACCATTCGCGGAGTCAATATTGTACTACCACAAGATTTTAAAAGAGTCGAACGCTGGAATAGAGAAGTTTCGGTCTGTACTTCCATGCATCCATATCATTGTCTTCGGTTAGTTCATTTCATCAGATTCGTTGCTAAAGCCCTTTATTGACCACAACTAGGGGCATGCATTGGCTTTGCTGGCTCTGTTTTCATCGAAAAAGTCCAATGTGATGTCCTGGCCCCTATCATTCCTCTGTTTTGGCATTCAACGGACCTCCGTATGCAAGAGATGGCAGCTCGAACTTTCGGAGCTCTCAAAATTGCCATCGAGAAACTCAAAGAGCTGTACTCGAGTCCAATTAGCTATCTCAAAGCTGAAGATTCTCTACGACATCCCTATCCTCAGACATATACCTCTTCAAGCGGTCACATTCAGGAATTCTCGTATGACAAGACTCAGATGTTCAGGGATCGACGTATCTTCTTTGGGAAAACCGTCAATGACGCAGCTGAGCGCAAGATATGTATCAAGTTCGTTAGACACTATTCCCCTGAGACCCACAGATTCTGTGCCAGCAAGGGGCACGCTCCGGATCTTATCGCCTACGAACCTTTAGCCGGCGGCTGGAAAATGGTGATTATGGATGCGCTTGATATTGATGAGGGTCTCCTCGCGCAACGGCCTGGCTCATATCGACCGCTGAGCGCGATGGCTGTTTCGGAACGCCTGCCACTGAAGGAGGCCATCACGTGTCTTATCGAGGAGTTACACAGATACAACGGCGGCTACGTTCATGGCGACCTTCGGGATACCAATTTCGTTGTGGGAGACGACAATCAATTCATGCTGTTCGATTTCGATTGGGCTGGACCGATCGAGAAGGCCCGTTATCCTATGCATGTTAATCGGACGGATATTCGACGTCCTGAAGGCGCGTGTGATGGGAAGCAGATTGTGGCGAAGCATGACTTGGAAATGCTGAAGTATCTGTTTCCTGAGCAAGATGGTCGGGAGCCGGTTAGGAAGCGCCCTCGTCTTTCTACTGGTGAAGGGTCGTCAATTTGATCCATTTGTGTTGGATGTACAACATTGACCGGTATTCCTTTCTTTCATTCGTCATCACGGACTCTGTACTGTTTGCACCTAAGCGATTCTTTCCACAACGCTGAGGTACAGTTCACATTTACTTTGCACGCTGTCTCTCACTTGCATTGTTTCGTCTCTAGACATGTCTCTTAGGTTTTACTTTCCACAATTTGATTCGCTCATAATTCGTTGTACAATACCAGTTTGTTTTGTTTTCATAAAGCTATCTTATGTGACACTCCAGATACCACTTTTAATAAATTGCACGACACAACACTGAGTGCGTGACAACGCTACTTCATCCAATCTTCAGTGCATTCATAGATGACTGAAAATCATACAAGAAGTCTGGGAAAATTGGTCATGGCGTTTTACCCCTTGCCATGGCGAAGCTGCCGAAGTGACAGACAGCTTTTGTGCCACGTGATCCCGACGCGTCGCGTTCGAACTTCGGGGACGTAAACATACCTCAACAAAGGTTCTGCAGGACGCGCTGTCTGGGGTGCACACAACTACCGCCACCATAAAATCGCAATGACGCCCGCTCGCAATGCCCAGCTTGATCAAGAAAGAGAAGAATATCGTGCTAGCATCGCCGAGGCCCTCCAGGAAGACGAAGATCCGCTTGCTGCCTACGACGACTTTGCCAAATGGACCGCACAACAGTATCCTGCAGATGACATGACATCTGGTCTCGTCGAGCTACTTGAAGAGATTACCAGACGCTTCAAAGATGATCTGAGGTACAAGGGCGATCTCAGATATCTGAAACTCTGGTCGGCATACGCGAAGCAAGTCGAGAGACCGACCATTATTTACTCATATCTCGTAAAGCATGACATCGGGTGTGTATATGCACTACTTTATGAGGAATATGCGGGAGCACTGGAAAGGGAGGGAAGGTGAGTGCCTTGTATACCTGAAGGCTAAGCGCGGGTTAGGTGAACCATTTATCTGCATGATCCAGACACACCGAGGCCGACAAGGTTTTCCGTATCGGGATCACGCGTAATGCTCGTCCAATCGAGAGGCTGAAGAAACGTTATCGCGATTTCCAAGGCAGCCCTTCATCGTCTAAACCCACACCCATCACCTTCCGACCGAGTGGGTCCCAAGAAATCGATACCCTCCGTCGTAATCCCCTCAAGAACCACAATCCACCACCTGCTTCGTCCTCAGGTACTTCGAACAAATCATCATCCTCTAAATGTAGTACTCCACAAGCCTCCGCGTCGAGCCCTAGAGCCCATGGCCGCTATGCTCCGATGCTTGCTCCTCCTGTCCCAGGGAGGCGCCCAGAGAAGCTGCGCTTTAATCTCTCACTGCTTTTCACTGGAGACGGTGTTGAATACAGCGCCGCTGAGGTGCGCGCCCGCTCCATGGGACTTCTCAACAAGAAATGGGGTTCGCCCCCACCTTCAGAGGCACGCGAGACCGTTCGAGTGAACTTTAACGATGACGGCACACGGAGCACACAGAATATGGGGTACGGGAAGCGCAAGAGTATCGTGACTTTAGGAGAGCCAACTGTCACGATCAATACGAAAGAGGCGCTGGCAGATGTATTTGGAATGTATAACTCCCCGGATAAGACTGTAAAACGGATGATGCCTGGGAGTAAGCATGCGCCTGTGAAGAGGATTGAACCCATGACAGCTGCAACAAGACAGCCACCGTCTGTCGTCCAAGTGGAGGATGAGAATGCTAAGACACCGGGTAAGCAGAAATTCACTTTGTCTTTGGGGCTCATTTATATTATGTCTGAAAGGTGCATTCAAACCCTTCGTCGATGAGAACGCGAACCGCAAGGAGAATAGCACCCCTGCGGTAAAGGTGCTAAAAATAAACACTGCTTTCCTTCATTCAATGCTAAATCAGCCGGTAGTTCAAACCCTTCGTGGACGAACCCCCAAAACAATCATTTGCTACTCCTGATATCGGTCGGCGAGCTCTCACAACGAAGGATAGCACTCCTGCTACATCTTTTAAACCTCCCGCCACCCTCAAAGCCATCTCCGAAGAAAATTTTGGGCGAGAAAATGAGAATGTCAACGTCAAAGCCAGCGTATTCTCGCGCGTCTTCACTCCCGTATCTCAGAAAGAACCTCTCACCCGACCTAACTCACAAGGGGCAAAGGCTAGCCCTCTAAATGAGAACCCGAGTGTCTTTCAGGTTCCTGGTTCTAAACAGGAGGCAGCACCATTCGTTGCATTCGTCGACTCCAAAACGCCTTTCAAGGTCTTCAGTCGTCCACCATCATCGCACGATGGTAGTGAGAACGCAGGGCACGTTTTTACCCCGAAGCCGAGCACGTTCAAGGCGTTTGTGGATACCAGTACCATTGCCATGTCTGAGAACCAGGTGGAACATGAAGCTCCTCGAGCACCACGGACGCCGGCGTCCGAGACCTATACCGATGAATCCAGTGATCCCGCAGACGACCCTCAGCAGAACTTTTCCTCGAGTGACGAACCTTTCGAGGATGGCTATATCGAGGGAGAACCTGATGTACCCTTCTCCTCATCTTCAAGCATCAGCGATCAGTTCGAAGAAGAATACGAGGAGCAACCGCAGCCTCTTGGGGGTCGCTTCGGCAGGATAAACGTGATGACGCCCATCACAGAACGTACCTTTGAGTTTAGCACTCGCGGATTCCCCACGCCGCATGAGAATGGTGCAGTCGAGACTGCAGAACAACTTGCTGCGGAGCTGAGAGAAGAAGACGAACGTGAACGAGGATATGTGCACGATGGGGAGGAGTCGGACTCATCATTCGCTTCTTATGACCGACCAGGATTGGTCCCGCAATACCAGCCGGCAGAACTGGAAGTGATCGAAGAGCGCACAGGGACTCTTAGTCTCTCAGATGCTCTGGCAGTAGTGTCTGCCTTCAGACCATCGAACCCCTGCAATCCTTTCGACCCTTCAATTATGTCCACACTACTTTCCCTCTTACCTGGAGACGAAGATTTTCACGACCTGCGAGGGCAGGACTCGGGTATGCTCGAGGGTTTACAAAAGTTCGCAGCCAAGAAGAGCAGGCGAGGGAGTGGTTCGAGTTCCAAGGGGTTCGATGACGATGCCTTCATGGTCACCCTGGAAGGAAAGAGACTGAAGGTGGTGGATAAACTAGGCGAAGGCGGCTTTGGAGCAGTATTTACAGCTCGAGATGTTTCATCCAAGAATGAAGATGATGAAGACGAAGACGAAGACTTGGATGAAGACGATGAGGAGGACGG